TATAGGAACGCACCGCGAGAGCCATGCCGAGAATGGACTGGAAAGTGACGGGGTTGCCAAAGTACAATACAGCGCTGAGAATGACGACCACGCGCTTCATCGTACTCATAATGGAGAACGTGAGCTCCGAGACCTCTCCCAGCACCCACGACGAGCAGAAACTGCCGATGAAGTGCATCAAACTGCACATCAAGACTTTGCCGAACGGGAAACTTGCTACGAAGTTGTCCTGGTGAGCACGAGCAGCCATAAGCACGAAGGGCGCGTTGATGGCAAAAGACACGAACGCGCTGTAGAAGTGAAGCTGATTAAAAAAAAATGTTAGATTTCAAGAAGTAAATACGAAAATTTTATCAACAGCACTTACATTGACCGTGTCAACTACGATCCGGCGGCGCAGCAGGAACTTGGCATACATGCTCTGCATGACGCCTAGCAGTGCCGACGTTACGGCAAATATTACCCCTGAAAATGCCAGATCCTGCATAAAAATAATCATAGTAAAATAATGTAAGACTCCTGTGCTGCAAGAAATAATTGATAAATATTTGACGCACGTTCATGCCCATTTCAGACACGGAAGCCATGACGACGCCAAAGACGATGGGGACGAGACTCGAGTACGTGGCGAGGGAGAACCGCGAGCGGTAGGCCACGTAGGCCAACACCACGTTGAAGAAGGGCTGCGACGCCTTGCACGTCTGCGTGATGGACACGGGCACAGCGTTGTAGCTCCAGTATGTGAGCATCTTAGCAAGGACCGAGAAGAGACTGAGCGGCACGATCCACATGATGCTGCGCATGCGGACGCGCTGCATGCGCCAGGCTCCAGAATTCGTCGGCGAGCTCGGGAACGTCAGCACCACAACTGCCATAATATACACAAGTTAATTACTACTTTCCACAGCGATTTCCAGCGTTATAAGATGTTCGTACAGTCAAGGATGATGCTGATGAAAAGATGACACATCGTGAGCATCTCGGCCGATACATGATGCTCCTTGATCAGCACCTTATTGGTGAAGGTGGCGGACGTGGAGAAGAAGTACCACACGCACAGACTCACGCCGATCTATGGTTACATTCGTGAAGTTAGCAGGGGTCGAAGGTCATGCATGCACGTGTCAATTGAGTCGGGAGTCTCACTCGCAGCGCCTTATTGTCTCGCAGACGGCTGATGGCGTGGCCCTTGGAGGCTTTGTACTCCTTGGCGGGCACGCCCATGCCGCCCTCCAGATCGTACATGGGGTACGGGGCCTTCATGCGTGCCTGTAGCATGTCCGCCGCTTGGGTCGTCGACTGCTTCTTCGCGAGTGGGTGGGCAATTTTAGCAGCTTTTCAGCGGTCTGGCTTTGGACTGGCTGCTTCTGCTTGGAAAGTGGCCATTCTATGGATCGATGGTGTGCGTCACACAGATATCGTTGAAACGACACAAAAGATGCAAAAGATGCCAGTGATCAGCATGGAGGACGCAAAATGTCGGAGAGGTGTCTTGAACGTGTTTACAAAAGAAATGCTGAAGTGCATTCAGGACTGCTCGGTCAGGAGAATACATGATGTTGCGAGAACATACTTGTTACAGCAAGTATCCATAGGATAATGTCTTGTTTGGCAGCGCTTGTTGCTGATGGCTACACTACAGCTTGAAACTTCAGTTTTTCTACGATCAGTGGGCGGTTTTCTGGAAAAGTTAATAAGGACAGACACAGCAACGTCAGTAGGAGCCCTTTGGAACGCCTTCACTATTATTATCGACCAAGTTTGCCATGGTGAATGATGCTTCTGGCGACGAGTACAATGATGACTTGGAGGTGGAGCAGCAATTTGATCAAGTTGCGGTAGGAATACGATGGCAAAGGGGATGTTGCTTTTTCGAGGTGCCCACAGTTTATTGTTTATAGGAAGATGGGGAATCAGAAGCGGCTTGCAACCCAGAGACAACGGCAATTGACGAAGTGGAGAAAGGTGTTGATCAATCAGAGAATACCCTGCCCGCCGAGGAAATCGCTACCTCCTCCACCGAACAGCAAGGTGAACCAATTTCGGACGCTGAAACTGGACATACTTTACCGCGTCTAGGGAAATCACGGCAGCAAAACAAGCGGCGAGGTACGAAGAGCCATTTTGGCATAGCAGGAGACAAGGACGTGGAGATCGCAGCGCTAAAAAAGAAGCTGATGCAGGCCAAGAAAATCAATACTGAGCTGCACAACCAACTCCAGAGATTCTACACAAATGATGTCATCATTCAGGTGAGATTGCTCTTGACACTTTAGGGCAAGATTGAAAAGGTTAACGTCATTTTCAAGCAGTTAGAGAATCGCGTGAAAGAGAAACAAAAGCGAATCGACGAGTTGCTACAGGAGAACAGAACACTGAAAAACTCAGAACGTTTGTTGACAAAGAATATCGAAGACATTCAGAACTCAAAGGTTGATTTTACAGGCGACTATTCTTGTTGCATGTACTAACCATCGTCGTTCATCTCAGGACGATTTCCCTTCCAAGAAGCGTGCTTTGCAAGAGGAACTACGAGTTTGTAAGGAGAGAATCAAGCAGCTCAAGGAGCAGTATCGAGTAGCAGACGAGAAAGGCTTCAAGTTACACCAGCTGAGTTTTGATCTGGCGGTCAAAAATAAGGGACTAAGTGAAAAACTTCGACTGCTTGAGACGACCACATCGACGTGTATGTCACCAGGTCCCTCCAATGTTCGTATCGAAACCGGTGCTCTAATGGAAGGACCTTCATCCGAGGAGGTGCAGACCATTCTCGCCAGCCAGGAAGAAGAAATCACTCGGCTACATCAGCGAGTTGCATTGATGAAGAAACGACACAAGGCCGAGCACGCCAAGTACGAGCGATTGTTGAAGACTAGTCAAGGCGAAATTGATGACTCTCGTGCTGAGATGGAGCAATTTTATCAGCAACTTTTCGCAAAAGAACGTGCAGCTCGAGTGCAATTCTTGCACATGAAGAAACTCAAACACGCGTTACATGAGTTAGCGAATACGCAGCAAACCAATCAGCGTTTCCAGCCGTTCTTAGCGAACCGCGAAGTGCGAATTATGAACCGCAGCAACAAGCAGCATCAAGTAGGTCCGCAATCTCCGCAAAAGGGGCCCGCGATAAAGGCAGGTCGGTGGATCACTGAAGCGTTGCATCATCTCGGGTTTGTGATGCCTCTTTCCTCACAACTTGACGGTTCAATTAAGTCACCGGATGAAAATGTTACTGACGAGCAAGCCGACATTCCTGAGAATTGTATCCAAGGCAGACTGGTTCCGGTCCCGCCTTCTGCAACGCGATTTGCTGGAGGCGCAAGCACTCGCTCCCAGCTCTATAACAACGGCTCGGATGACAGAGCGAGAAATAACGGTGCCATCAGCGACGTGAGCGAGGAATCCAACGATGAGAGCAGCGAAAAGGACCAAGACACGACAGTAACACCCGCGACGACGAACGCTACAGCGCATGCGCCAGAAAATCCCGAGCGGAGGACTATCCTGAGTGGCAAATGACGAAGCGGGGTGTACATGTTGTATCCGCAAAACAATTGTCTGCATTTCCCTACTTAGACTATCATTTCCTTGCTACGGTATCGCAAGAATGAAACTGCTCCACGTCTTTTTGAGTTTTGCTAATGACCTGCAGGCGTCTCTGCCAGCACCGCAGTCCACCGGCGGAGATGCCGCCGGTGCTTCTCGAGAAACGGACGACTTTTAAATTCTCAAACGGCACCTGTTTCGTCCTCATGGCCTGTAATTGCAACTATCTTGGTCGAAATCGTCATCGGCGAAGGAAAACAAAACTGCTCGAACACTTCATATCGCCATTTTCGATTTAGCATCGGCAGTCTCACTTCCTCTCTAACAGCAACCCAGCACTCGGCGAGATAGAATGACTCTCAGTCGCCACGTAGAGATTGACGCCACCCGCTTCCGTAAGGAACTGCTCTTCGTCTGCTGCAAGAGCGAAGACCCCACTATCGACCAAGTACGACAGCTCCACGAGTACGTTGAAATCAGCTACTTATACGCTGCAAACCGCTTCTTTTCTCATTTCCTTTGGCCTGAACAGAGTTCTGCTAAGCCCGACGGACAAGGTGTTGTCTCCAGTTAGCCGAGCTCTCCGAGCGCGATCTTTTCAAGGAAACAATCGCAATTCCGCTGCGTGAACAAGACACTAGTTGACCCGTTCCTCGCAGCGAGTGCACACCTATTCAATGCAGCGGTCAAAAGCCTGCGAAGACGCCCAACATGCCACTTGGCCAACTATCCTACGATAAAACTCCAGTCATCTCATCAGCTTCAGTTTTGCCTAAAGCTGCGGCCATAGATCTCAACTTATAACAGAACATGTATCAACCATTTGCGTTCGCTTACCGTAAAAAAAAAAATGAAACTTCAATTTCTGTCCAAGATGTAGCTATTCATTTTTAACCAATCATATGACGAAGAGAAAACTCCTTGAAGCAAATCTAGATTCCCACCATGAGCTCCACACTCGACGTGAAGCTCAACCGCATCGATCGCATCTTCCATCCCCATGTACGTGCCAGTCACACTCACAATAGCTTTCCATACAGTATATAACCCATGCATACTCCTCCAAACAGGAGATGGTGCAGGGCCAAGTGATCATCTCTTCACCCAAAGGTTTCTCCCATCAGGGTTTAGCCATGAAGGTGGAGGGTAGTGCCCGAATGCAGCTATCCACTAAGAGCGCTGGACTCTTTGACTCGTTCTACAACAACGTGTCCCCTCTCGAGCTCGTATACTTCCATCTGCCCGTGGCTGCAGCGGGAAAAGTCCCGCCAGGGATCACCAAGTTCCCCTTCGAGTTCGAACTACAGGGCAACGACGGCCAGGAGCTGCTGGAGACATATCACGGGGTGTACGTTTCAGTTAAGTACGAAATCATCTGTGACTGTATTCGAGGTATCATGAAGAACAAATTGCACAAGACACTGGAGTTCGTGGTAGAAGTTCCGGTGAGTTACAGATGATTTTTGGAAGAACGGGTGAATTTTTACATTGAGATTGTTGAAAAATGTTAGCTTCGAGAGCCGCTGCCAGACTCGCCTGAAGAGTTCCATATTACTCCGGAGTCGCTGGAAAACGTGCGACCGGTGAGTGTTTGGATAGCAGAAGCAGTGTTATCATTCGTGGATCTGATCGCTGACTTTTTGTATCAATAATGACAGCAAAGTTTGTCAGCGATGCCGTATTTTCATATCACGGGCAAAGTTCATCGTACGAACTGCCCGGTGAATTTGCCGTTCACAGGTGAGGTATGATGAGTTTTGATTCTGGGTTGATTTTAGTGCTGGGCCTTACTGCGGTTCGCTTCGTTTATGGCAGATAATAATTGAGGAAGCAAAGAGTCCGATCAAGTCGGTGGAGTTGCAGCTGATTCGGGTAGAAAGCGTGGCTCACGCTGAAGGAATTGCGAGGGATGGTAAGTCTCAGTGAGGTTTTTGGTATTTTATGAATCGATTGATGACGTTGTGTGCTGGGTGGTGCCAAAACAGCAACTGAAATTCAAAATGTCCAGATTGGTTGGGGCGATGTGTGTCGACAAATGGCGATCCCTATTTACATGATTTTCCCACGTTTGTTCACTTGTCCTACAATGTTGACCCCTGGTGCGCTCTTGAATTGTGAAATTTTGAACGAAAATTTGGATAAACTAACAATTATCGTCCTATTTCTCTAGCTTTCAAGGTTGAATTCGAGACCAACGTCGTGGTTCTGTTTGAAAATGGGAACATGATTACGGAGAACTTCCCCATTACTTTGTATCGGTAGGCCTCGCAACCAATGTCTTCGAGTACAGCTTCGGAGCGCTAAAACTTGGTAGACAAAGGAGATGCAGTAGTAGTACAGTATGTGCAAGTTGAGATACTATTTGATTGTTCGAATAGTGTTACTACTGTTTCTTTCAGCAGCAAAGTCTCGTGCTGCTTAACAATAATCATGGACAATGCTAGCCGGTAGAATAGTTATTTTTCAAGCACAAGGAAGCTTAAGAAAAACCTGAGACATTGTCGTGGTTGCACGTACACTTCATCTATTAGATGTGCATTGGCATAGTTGCCTTTACTTTTCTTCTTACTTTGGAGTGACAAACCGCACTAAATCTATTAATGCAGTGTTTCAGAATTTGGACGCTTACTTGTTGCGCTTGAAGATCTTGCTAACCAGCAAATTGAAGACCTCCGAGGGCATGATCGTCACCTGCGCGATCTCCTCCGAGAGCGTCTTGTACGTTTCGTCCTCGTAGCGGTGGTAAACAGTAGCGAGCTCAAGCTCAATGTAAAGCTTCTTGACGACCGCAATGGCATCGGGGTCATTACGGCCGTAGTTCTTCTTCAGCGTCTCCCTCTGCTCGGGAGTCGCGCGGTCAAGCGCTTGGACGACCAGCCAGCTGCACTTGTTGTCCTGAATGTCCGTTCCAACTTTGCCAATCACCTTCTCGTCACCATAGCAGTCAAGGAAGTCGTCCTGGATCTGGAAATATTCGCCAATTCGGACGCAGATCTTCTTGGCGAGGTTGTGCGAGGCCTCGTCGACAACTCCATTCAGGAACATGGCACACGCAGCCGAGAGGTAAAACGTGTAGTACGCCGTCTTGTTGATCACGATCTGGCGGTAGCTGCACGAATGAAAGTATAGCAATATCAGCATTTGCAAAGTTTAAAATCCTGAGTATAACTTACCGCTCAACAGTGAAGCGGTCCAGGTCCACCTCGCCGTCCAGAGGCTGAGACGTCAGGTCCAGCAACTGGCCGATCTCAGTGTGGAAGACAACCTGGAGACAACATAATTGATCATCTGATGGTACTTTTTATCAATAATAATGAGGATTTTGACTTACGTCGTGGAAGGTTTCGACCAAATCCAGGTAGTACGGCTCCGATCGAAAGTGCTTCTTGAGGATCTGGAATACGAACGCCTCGAGCAGGAAAGCATCGTTGATGGCGATCATCTTCACATTGGGCTTGCGGTACCAGCACGGTTGTCCACGACGAGTGATGGACTCGTCCATGATATCGTCCGCGACCAGGAAGAACGCTTGCAGCTAATCAACACAACGATACCCGATAAGCTCCTACAATAACGATTTAAACCTATTGCAGCCTAACTTACCCATTCGATGCACCATCCAAGAACACTGGCCTTCTCCTTGAGCTCGGAGGTGAGCTCCTTGCCCGGCGCCATCGCTTGCGTGCTGCAGACCACAACAACAATAAGTATTGTCGGTCAATGCGATAAAAGTATACCAACTCACCAGTGCACGACGCTGATACCGCGGTTGAGTTTGCCGCCAATGCAGTTGTACTCGACGACCTCATCCACCCAGTCGAGAGCGTCGTGAGGTAGCTGGTGCTTGGTACGCAGCAGCTCCAGAACCTCCAGTTTGAGCTTCCCGCACACGGCAATAAATTCTGTCCACAAACCACAGTGCAATGTAAGTAACGAAGAGAATACAGTCTGTACTAGTAGGAGGCTTCTCCGATGGATACCTTCGCGCTCCTGAGCCATTGTTGCGGTGGCGATGACAATCGGCAAATGCCCCCACGTTTTGGACCTCCACGAACAATGCAACAATGCAACAAATTGCTTAGATCGCGCCTAAGTTCGATGTGCTGCCTAAGTACGAGGACACGAAACGACGCAAGTGTGTGTAGCCATCTTTGCCTCGTTGCATTCATCATGGCGAGTAAGAAGCGCCTGGAAGAGTTAGAGAGACGACAGCTCGATAGCAGCGGCTCTAACCGACAGACAGCAGGAAATGAGAAGCACGTAGTGCGTGAGACTCAGCAACGGCCTGTGAGGGCGCAGCCCATGCGAGGACCCAGTGCTATCCCGAGTACACCAGGACAACATGGCTGGAAGGATCCGACGGGCCAAAGCACTGGCGCCACGTCTCAATCCGAGCAGCATGCGAAGATGAAGGAGAGTATCTGTACTCAGTTACTCGTTGACGGATACGTGCAATCGTACGTAGATCTCTTCTACCTCACACATCGCAACGACCCCACGCCTCAGCACATCGGAGGCGGAAGCACTTCGACAACAATGGCAAAGACTGGCGCGTTTAGTGCTTTAGAGCTGCCAGAGATGGAGTTCCTGCGAGATCAACTAGTGGCTGCTGAGCATTGCAAACGACGCGGGGAGATCCCGGACGTGATGGCAGCTTACGACAGTCTAGCCACGTACTGCGCCGAGAAGCAGGACACAAAGACTATGATCTTCTTCTACGAGAAGTGTCTGGAGATTGCAAGACTTGTCAAGGACCAAATCAGCGAAATGCGCGTCCTGAATCAGATTGGTAGTGGATACCACGCTGCGGGTGATTTGGAGCAGGCTCGCCAGTATCTCGAGCTCTGTGTGGCCATTGCCAAAGTTGTGTACGAGCACGACGACGATGAAGAGCTCCGTGGCGAGGCATATGAACAGCTCGGTAAAGTATACGTGGATCTAGCATTGCGTCATGAGCAAGCGAAGCAGTTTCTTGAGGCCATTGAACTGTACAAGCTCCGTTTAGACTGTGCGGTCAAGGCTCACAACCCGGAGGCACAAGCCCATTCTCAATTCAAGATAGGCACCTGCTACAACGCTCTTAATGAGCCTGCCAAGGGGCTTCCCTTCCTGGAGACTAATGTGCGTTATCGTAAGCAATACTGCGTTGTGCTGGTTGTTTATACATATTGTTTTGTGTGTCTGTAGCTCGCAGTAGCACGTCAAATTGGAGACTCAGACGGTGAGGGCAATGCTTGTGCAGCGTTGGCAACAGCACACGAGAAGCTCGGCAATCAGCAGTTGTCCATCGAGTTCTTGAATCAATACGTGGCTATCGCAACGAGAGCTGAGAACATCGTCAACCAGGCTGATGCGTGCGCGCGGCTTGGTAAGATCTACACAGCTTCCCAGAATTTCCAGCGCGCTCGAGAGATGCACGACAAGAACTACGAGCTCGTCCAAGCTGTAGCAGCCCGTACCGGCGACCGATTGCAACAGAATATCTCCCGGGTGAGTGTAGGCGCCGCTCGTGCAAACGATAAACTGGCCACGCTGCTTGGCCTGGTTAAGGATGATTTCCACGGGCTCTTGGCGTGGAAAAACACGCGGGCTGTGCCTACTACCGAGTAAAGCACTGCAGCATAATAACACTACACCAAACTTAACACTTCATCAAAAAGTATGTTGGTTACATGGCACCCGACCCGCCCTCCGTAGGCGGGTCCACGATGCTCACACGCAGCAAGCGGCCGTCCAGTTCCTGGCCGTTCATTTCGCTCGTCGCCTCCAGCGCCTCGTCGAATGTTGAATACACCAGGGATGCCCACAGGTGCATTGACGAATGCTCGGGTGTTAACAGCTTGGCATCCTCTAACGTTCCGTAGCTCTCAAAAACTTCACGCAGCCGAGTCTCGTCCGTCTTCCAGTGCAAACCTGCGGTCGGCAGCGTCAGCATCGATTACAACATGGATACACTAGATTTCACGCGACAAATTGAGGTCGTACCGATCACGGAGACGTGTGTCGACAACACCCGACAGCTAGATGCAGCCGAAGACGCCGTATGGCCGCTCTGGCGCAGCGTCCGCATCGCCAATACTCCCCTTCGCATTGCCATCGTTCACTTTTGCATTGAAATGCAGCAATCGTTTTGTTCCTATATAGAGACAACCCTCTACAAAAGCACATCTTGTAATAGCTCTGAACAAATCGCCAAACGCAGCAAAAGAGAGAAGCTTCGACGGCAGAAGCTCTCTTCAAGTCTCTCGCCTGCCCCCTACAGGTCCTCTCAATCCCCCATCTGCTGTATATCTCCTCCATAGATCTATATCTACTTTATACTAGTGTTTTCGGGCGAAAATTTGCTGTTAAATGGCTCAAGTAGCTGGCGATAAGGTTATGACGGAGGAGTCGACAGCGACGCCTCCAGGCAGCAGCGGGGGCGATAGCCGTCCGCGTCATCGCTCATCTGCCAGTCGACAGAGTGTGCTACCAGTGCTGCAGTTCTGGAAGGCCTTCGATCTCGACAGTAAACGCGTATTGTTGGATTCACAGGGCAGCACGATGAAGAGCGAGAAAGATGCGAGTGTTCGCTCCCGTAAGAAGCTGGCAGAGACCACCAAGCAATTCCGACGACTAGCTACTGATGCTGACAAGGCAGCGGGTGCAGGGCCTCTTCTCAAGGCTTACCAAGAGGAGATAGACAATTTGACACGACGAGCCAAGTTCTCAGAGAACGCCTTCTTCCAGCTGTATAAAGGTCTCTATGCTGCTCCTGACCCCGCTCCAGCTTTAGCAATGGTAGCGTCAAGCTCTGGAACCGACGAATTAGCGGAGGAGAACAAGAAATTGAAGCGGGAGCTTAAGGAATACGCGGCCGAGTTCGCCTCATTGAAGAACCAGGATATCACTATTCGGAATTTAGAGGAGCAGGTCGCTGCTGCTAAGAGAGAACGGGAGGATGCAGTGCATCAGCAAGTAGAGAAACGTACGAGAGAACTCGAAGATCAGCTGGAAAACGCTCGACTGGAGTGGGCGCAACAGCGTCGCGACTACGAGCGACAACTGGAAGCTTCTCGTGCTGAGCTGCGTGAGGCGTTTGCCAAGATGGATGCGATGCAGTCTGATTTGTTTGCACACAAGCAGCGTTCCGGACTGGCTCGCAATGCTCTTGACGCCGAGATGGAAGCTATCTCGCAGGACTCGCTGCTGACGCAGACGCTGCAGTTGGAGAATGTTCAGCTCAAGAAGCAGCTGGAAGAGTTACTCAGTGCTTCATCGCCGTCTGAGATTTTTAATGCCCAATCATCAGCGCTTCCAAGCGATGACACAGGGAGCGAAAGCTTACAGTCAGCGAGGGAGATGCAGGCGGAACAAGATGCTGTCGTCGCTGCACTGCGTCAAGAAGTATTCCGTCTGAAAGAGGCCCACGCAACGGCGAGTGTAGCTGCAGTAGAGGAAGCGAAGCGACTGAAAACTGCGTTGGAGAATGCTCAACAAAAGCAGAAGGATCTCGAAGCAGAGTTGGCGGCGCGTCCAACAATCGAGAAGTTCCATGAGGTGACACGGAAGCTGCGAGTTCTGCAACAATTGGAGTACAATATTGTCGACGAGGACGACGACAAAAGCAAAACTTCTTCGGCAGATGCAGCAGAGAGCACCGGCGCTGTAGATGGTTTGGAAGCAGCTACTGTCGAGGTGGAACAAATCCTTGTGTCTCGCGTACGTCGTCTAGAACACTCGCTACAGGAATGCGAGCGGACGCTTCAAACTAGAACGACGCAACTGCAAACTGTTCAAGGTGAACTTCACGATCGCAACGATAAAATTCGAGAACAAGCGACTCTTATTCGCAACCTCGAGGAGAATGTAGCGGCTTTGGAAAAGGCTCGACGGAACCGCACGTCCGGTGTAATTGGTGGTGATATCGGATCGGAGATCCTCATGGATGCCATGGAGGACCAATTTACTGGAACTTCGGGCTCCTCACGGGGTAATGGGGTAGCAACAACAGCAGACACGGCGTCCTCTAGTGCGAACCCTTCGTCTGACAGCAAGATGCTGGAGATCGTTCGAGGCCAGCGTGACCGCTTCCGTGAGCGTATGAAAGAGTTGCAGAGCGAGAAGAACCGCGTCGAAGAGCTCGCGCAGTCGTACAAGAGCACGGTGGCGCGTCTCGAAACGGACAACATGCAGCTGTACCACAAGATCCGGTATCTGCAGAGTTACGGTGGTGACAAGTCTGGCGGCGCTCGCATTAAGCCGAACTTTACTGCACTGGAAGATGGCAGTGCAGGCGCGTATGATGTCGAAGAGCGTTACCGTGGAATGTACGAGGAGAAGATGAATCCGTTCGTGCAATTTAACAAGATGGAGAACCAGCAGCGTTTCACCAATCTCAACCCGGTGGATAAAATCCTGCTGACAAGCGCCAAGCTGCTATTGGGACACCGCATCACTCGCAACATGGCGTTCGGCTATATCCTGCTGCTGCACTTCCTCGTGGTGGCCACGCTCTATTCGTTCATGCACGTCTGCGGAGTTTCCAACGACTCGTAGGCAAAAACTTGCAACTTTTTACAAAAGAAACAAATTGCATACGAAAAGTTGCATGTTGAAGTGATCCAAGTAGCAATTAACTACGATTTATCTAAATCTGAGTGAATTACGGACAATTATCATCGGGGCAAGTTTTTGTTGCATAACACAATTGTGATGGGCGTGTGGCAGACCGCAGCTAAGGTGGCGCTGTGGCTGCCCGTGGGCGTGTCAGTGAACGCGCTGGGCGTGAGCCTTGCGAGCGTAAAGGGCCGCTCCATGCAGCCAGCGCTTAACGACGGGCTAACCCAGGACGATGTGCGTGACCGTGTGCTGCTGGACAAATTCTCGGTGCAATTTCGGCATCGTTATCGCCGTGGAGACGTGGTGGTGCTTGAATCGCCCGAGGCGGCAGGCGAGTATCTGATTAAGAGACTCGTGGCCCTGGAAGGGGATACGGTGACGGACAGCAACGGCGATTACTGTACGGTGCCCGTGGGCAGGTGCTGGGTGGAGGGCGACAACCCCACCTTCAGTGACGATAGCAACTCGTTCGGCTTCGTCCCGCTCGCGCTCATCGACTCGCGCGTCATGGCCGTGGTGTGGCCGCCAAGCGAGATGAAGATAGTCCAGCCCAAGCTGTCAAACCGTGTCAACCAAGAGGATCGAGAAAATCAGTGATGGAGAAGAGAAGTTGTTTTAGAGTAGCTTTGGGTTAATGCAGTGGATTGACACCGCTGCAAAGCTTGCGTTCCGTTTGAATTGATGTTCTCCAAAGTGCGGCATAGGTACAGGTGAGTGACCATAGAGTTCAGATGTATAACCGCACACTGGAATTTGCTGCTGATGAGCCCCTAACGATTCCTCTGCAAGGATTCCGAACTACGGAAGGAGTTGCCATTAGTTGTCTACGAATCGTTGGTTGCTATGCAACGTCAGACACCGATGAAACGCTCAGCAGTTGATAAATTCCGGCCAGTAGTGAGTAGCGGCGCGTCACGGTGACGGTCGCCTGGCTTCGAGCTCTCTTGCAGCTCAAGGCCAACTCTAGCTACATGAATCATCGGACAGCGATGATGTAAACTTTCGATCTGGATCATGAATGCAACACCACCAATATTCAGCTCTGAATTTACTGATCGACCCAGATGCTGGTACTGACTGAGCGTTACAACAACAGTAGACTTGGTGACCTGTTCATATCAAATGAAATGATTGACGAGAAATGCGTTGATGAAAAATATCTTATCGTGCGGTGCAATTGTGCAAGTTAGCACCGACACCTTAGCTACATGAATTCTTCGTAAATACACATCGAACAGTCTATAATACAGGACGGACGTCGCCACCAGGGGCGCCGATAGATAAAAAGGAGATGCTTGTCACGGGACTGAAGGGTGCGGCCTTAATTGCAGAAGCGACGGATGCGAGCCGAGTCCGACTGGCTGATGAGCGCGTTGGTCTTGCAGTCGATGGAGCAGAAGCCGTCGGCTGGAGCGAGCGCCTTCTGGAACGATTGCGCGCAGTTGCGGCACTTGCTCGTCTCCGAATGGATGGCCGTGTCGTAGTGGGAAGTGCGGTTCTCGATGGACACCTCCTCACTCAAGATGTAGAAGGCGCTACGGCCCGAGCCTTTCCATGGCTTGAGAGTCACGTAACCATAGTCAACGAGGCGCATGAAGAGCGCCGCGCAGCCCGTACGGTTCGACATGATGCCAGCGTCCATGAGCCAGCTCACCGCCTCGGACTGAACGAAGTACTGGTACTGGACCTTGGAGCGCTTGTCGCGTGAGGTCTGGGCAAGCACATCGACAGCGCGGAACACAAGATCCTCCTCGACGTCACCCAGCTGCTCATTGTCCGAGGATTCACTAGACGCAGCTGCAGACTCGAGCCCGGAGAGCGAGTCCGTTGAGTCGGACGTGGCCAGCGTGGACTCGGCCAACGCGTGGCAGTGCGTGCATACGCGCACGCGACCTTTGTAGCCGAGTTCTGGCAGTCGTACGGAGAAAGGTGAGCACTCACCGCACACGAGTTCTCCGCAGGCGCGGCAGTGGTGACGACGGCGCGTCCAGATGGAGAAGTCGTTACCGCAGCACAAGCACGAGTCGCTGGCGGCGTCGGGGCGCCACTGTGGCGGACTGCCGCTCTCCTTGCTGGACTGCGGGCTGCTGACGTCGCGTAGTGCCAGAGGCGAGTCGCACGCAGTCACCGAAACACCCATACTAGACGCTAGTGTTGATATTGAAGTGCTTCCCGCTCGTCCTCTGCTTGACGTTCTCAACACACGGAGAATCCGAAAGTGAATCGAGCGGAACCCGAAGTTTGGACGAGCAATGACAGACGGGACGACGACAAAGTGGCCCGGCCATGGCTACAGCGCAGACACTCCCTGTCCCTTTCACGCACAGTCGCATCACCGCCCATCTCAAAGGATAATTGCTATTTATTAGATTAAAACTAGCAGGTTATGATAAAAATGACCTATTCGTACGGTTACTTCAGAAGTATCTGCGCATCGGCTGGTGAACGGCTTGCTGTCCATGCCGTCAGAATCCGATGTGAGCCAGTGGCTACCATTGCGCTCCTACCGCTGTCTATATATCCTTCCCCGCGATGATCGCTGTGTGTTACTGACAGGAACTTACTGTATGTCGAGTTTCTGAAGGAAGTGGAGGGCTGCGGTTCATTTCGCAAGCATCTTTGTGGATTTGCCACTGTTCTCCTCCGTCTTGATTGAAAAGAAGGGTTTAAATTGGAGCCAACCAGCTACACGTGGCATTTTTGCAGCGACCCACTTGTTGGCGACTATTGCGATCACCTCGAAGTGCCGCCGTTGCGCCTGTGAAGCATCAATGCGTGCGTTGAACGCCAGAGTTCTTGCTAAATCTGGCAATGTGGGCCGGCTCAGCTCTTGGAGACGAAGTTGTCTCCGGAGGGAATTCTCGCTAAAACTGATTCCTTCTCGCATGAGAAACTAGCCGGACGAGAAGAGAACAACGTGTTCTCCAGCCGGTGTGAAATCAGACATTTCGCTACGTGAATGCTGGTCGTTCAGACCGCCTTGTTCTCGGCCCTTGCGGGCTCCGCTGCTTGGTATCGCAGCGTGGTTGAAGCGAGCTGTGTGTCCCCGATGTGTCTACAGGCGGCACACAATCGGAAAATGTCATGACGAAGCAGTGGTATCGACTCAATACCACTGCAGGCATCTCGCCTGGATTGATTGAGGAACTGCCGTTTCTGCAGTCAAACAACCAAGCAGCTTCAGTTGGCAAATGCCGCGCGGCACGACGCCGTTGGGACACCGCCTTGAAGAAGGATGCCTTCCCATCGGGACAGAATTGTTCCGAGGCAATGTCGCTGCGCCGCGCCGCTCTACTTCTAAAAGCCGACTATCCATCGGTGTTTCACATCGCTTGGTGCTGCTTCAAACAACACTTGCTGAAAAAGACTGCCATCTGCTCAACAGCACAACACCGTCTCTCTTCGTGAATCGCTTCAGCAACCAGTCTGAAGTACATGTACTACTCGCGTAGATGAAACTACTGCCAATTAGTGGGGTGCTGCTGCAGCCAGTGGGCCTAGCTGACGAGAACTGGTTGAGCATCCAACAATTTACATTGCGCGTCGGGCTCATTTAACCCCTAACAATTGATGTCGAGCACCACATGTACGCGAAGAAGCGCTGCTGAGCGGGTTCGCTTCGGCTTGTCTGCAGCAGCTCCTGCTTCTGCTCCTTGACGAGTGCTTCACCGACATAGAGCACAAGAGACGGCGGGCGGCGCGAATTTTGTATCGTAGGCTTGCTCGTCGGTACAGTTCAAGACTTCAGCGATTCAAAGCCTGCACACGAGCCCAAGATGTTGTAGCAAGCTTTCGAACTCGCTCGAAATCGTGTTGAGCTTTGCATCAAAAATTCAAATTTAAAACTTTGACGAACATAACTTCACAGGTGAAGAAGGTATTGAAGAACTCGATGCAAAAAAGAGAACAGTTTTGAGGACAAACACGCCATGGCCAAAGAGGCATCGGCTCGGGGCGATTGGACGCCAGAGCCGGCATGCCACGGAGACAGGACCGCTGCATGTCAAACGTGAATAGCTTCGTTTTCACGCACCAACAGAAACTAGCCACCGATGGAGCTGTTCGCTTACATGATCACAGCCATCGCAACATGCACAATTACTGCGCCGAGCGCCAATTCGACAGGATGATTCAATGCGTTTTCGTTTAACATGTTATAGTAGAATATACCAAGTACTTGGCAAACGCATTTTCGCGCGATGAACGCAACGCGTTGAAGCGCAACTGGCTGAGTGTCAAATGAATGCAACCACTGCTGACTGAGCGAGTGGGACGACAGGAAGGCTTGCCCGGTTGTCGCAGCTCGTCATCGTTGCATTGGCAACACCAGTGATTGCCAAGTGAAATGAATGGAGCTGCTGAAGCCACACTGTCGCGAAAGATCGTGCGGTCTCCGCTCTTGTCATCCCAGCCGATTTGAAGCTGTCCGGGACGCAAGGAATGGCTGGACTCCAGCCCAGAGAGGTGTCGACAGTGTCGAAGCCTTGATCGCTCCACCCAACACCAGCAGTGGCGTGCGATGACTCATGGCACGCCGATGCGAGCGAGACATGGATGGGCTGAAGCCCTGCAGTGTTGCTTAGCAAATTGGTGCTGTCATTGGCAAGACCATCCGCTTCAACATGCAACAGCGTTCCCAGGCCGAACTCAGGCGTTCATCCCCACTTTTGCGCAAATGGCTACGATCTTCGTCCATCACTTTCCCGAGTCACTACCACCACTCAATTTCGCATTTGTAGCCACTTCCTGATCCCTTGCAGGACATGTCGCGCTGAAGCTGCTTCGACGTCGAATCGACCGGGATGCAGCCATTTCTGCCTGATTGGCATGGAATTGAAGCTGCCAAAAGAGTGATGGTCATTCATCTCTTACAGGCAGTAGAGCCGAGTTCCGCACAGGACACGCTTCATGAGCGTCTTGCGCAGCGAGAGCACGGGGGCACAGCCTCGATCTTGTCCTGAATAATATTCCAGCTCGAGGAAGCCTGCGCGGTTCACGCCGCCTTCTTTGTTGTCTTCCTTTTCCCATCGAGTTGGCAGCTTCCATCCAGGGATACCTGGTTCGCCCTGCACGAGCGAGAAGCTCTGGTTCAGCCAGTTCTCACCTGGCTCACCGATAGCCAAATCTACCAGGACCTTGGTCATCTCGCGCTCGTCGTAGATCGACAAGTTTAACGCGTAGAATCGCTCCGGCGACATGGGATTCATGATGTTAAGCCAGCCTAATATGTGCGAACACACCTGTTGCTCCGCTCTGGACATAGCGTCGTAGATGCGAAAGAAATTGTGAATGTCAATGAGTCTCGAGAACAGGATACGGGCCGTCTCGGGTCGAGCGTGGAATGATGCTGGCATACAGGCAATGATCTTGGAGGCCTGTTCACACGAGATCCACCGATCGCAGATTGCCGACTCGATCTGCACGAGCTTAAGCCCCACGTTCTCCTTTGTGGCACCTGTGAGGCGAAACGTGTACGCGTGGTCTACTACAAAGCCCCAGCCGCGCTTAAGGATCGAAGCTCGGGTCTTGTTCCAGAACTCGGATTGTTCATTGGACGCCGTTCGCTTCATTTTCATCTTCGATAGCCCAGTCAGCTCAGCTATTTCTTCGCTGTTGTCTTCAGCATTAGACCCCCTTCCTATTCGCTTGGGCTGTCGCTGTCCTCTAGCTCTCTGAGCTCGAGTAGGACCAAGAGAACCTAGCGCATCCGGCAGCACGACGTCCATCTGGAGCAAGTCAATAAGCTGGTCAAACCGTCGATCACTGATCTGCGTGGTGCCTCTCTTGGGACGCGTCGTACTCACATAGTCGAAACACAGTTTGCCCCGACGCGGCAGTGAGTGGAAGAAAGTATTGGTAAGCACGATACTATGGCCATCCAGTTCTTCATTGCGAAAATTCTCCCAATTGCCATGTTGGGACGTGTCAGCGCGTCCTGATCGAAGCTTGGAAAAGAGTTTTTCACTCTGAGCAACTTCGGCCAGTTTGTTCAATGCAATTCGGTCTTTAAGCTTGGCTAAATCGAACGAATAATGTGCTGTCGGGTTACCAAGAACAACAGAGTACGCACTGCCCATTCGAGCCTTCAGACGACATCGTTGCATCAGTGTCAACGTTCGGGCCACGAGGATCTGCGCCTCCTTTGCCGTTAGCATTTGTGGCAGCAATAGCGCAATTGTCTCGATTTTCTTGCTTTCAGGTTTCAAGTAGTGACAAGCTTCGAGGATCTGGTAGGCTTGAGCTGCAGTAAGTCGAATTTCAGAATCGTACATGGCGACATGGAAGAGGTCATCTTGTTCAGCTTTGGAAGTGGCTACTTCCGTGATATTTCGGATCAAAAGTTCAAGTCCAACTCGCGAGATTTTGCCCTGACGGAAAGCTTCGTCGTTTGTGGCGAATGCTTCGCGATCGTAGACAAAATCGATCTCCAATTGACCGTCTTCGGGGATTATCCACGGCTTCTGAGTCGATGCATCCAACAGCGAGACAAGAGGCGCTCTTTCCTGGTCATCGTCTTCTTTACCTTCGTCTCGTCCGAGTAATTTACTCTTAATTCTCTCCAACAACTGTCCTTTCATGAACTCGACGAACTCGTACTCCTCCATTTCGCCGTCTCCACTGATATCGTACGTGGTAATTGCGTTCTCGATTTCTTTCTCGTCATAATTGTGGATTCCCAACATCTTGAACGCTTCTTCGACCTCATCTGCGTCGATTTTACCCGACTGATCCTCATCAATCATCTGGAAAACAGCGTGGAAGAAGAATGCACTGAACTCGCCTTCCTCGAGAAAACCGGATCTGTTGTAGTCAAATTTCTCTAACATGGCAGATAAACTCTCCATTTCTGGAAAAAGTCCTATTTGATTTAGAACAGCCAGGAGCTCATCTAGATCCACAGTTCCAGATTTGTCTCGATCCACATTAGAGAACAATGCATCCAGTCCTCTGGTTTCGAGGGTGGTTTCCTCTCCATCGCTGCGGTGAGCACCAGCACCTTTATGCTGCTCAACCACAAGATTCTCCTTTTTAATGAGTGTAATTGCTCTCTTGGCTGCAGTCGGAGACTTGTACTCAATACGTAGAAAACGGCAGCCTTTGCGTGTTGTAGATAGACGCACAAGCTCCATCGCGATCATTTTGTCGTAGGCATCGCTCATGTTAAGAGAATATCTGCCTGCAGGCTCTCTTGGACTGAATATTCGTGTGGACTTGGCATTATATACTGGCAATGATAATACGCTAAATTCTGCAGCATTTCCACGATCAACGGATGCTGCCGATGCAGGTCTTTGGCTCATACTTTTAGGTACAACTGCTGGAGCTGAAGTGCCGATGGGCATGATATTAGCGCCCAAGTTGCATGCATGTAGTTCGATTGTACATCCGACTTCGGTTCGGTTAGCACAAAGTGCAGCCATGAACAATTGACCGCCTTCTCTTCCGATATTGTTGCCATTAAGCTGAAGTTTACGTAAAGTTCGGTTTGAACGAATGGCATTTGCCAACACCATGGCCCCCTTCACGCCTATACTGTTGTATGATAAATCCAACATCTGTAAGCTCTTGTTGAAGCGCAAAGCCTCACCAAACATCATGGCACCGGCATCCGAACACGCATTGTATGCAAGTTTGAGCTCCACCAGTGTACCATTATCACGAATGGAATTCGCGAGTGCAATGCTGCTTTCTAGTCGTAAATAATTCCATGATAAATCGAGATGTATGAGCACAGGATTCACATGCAGCATCTTGGCAATAGCTTCTCCACCGGTGGTAAAATTTGGCTGTACAACGTTGAGATTTTCTGCTTTGCCAATGCAATTTCTGCTCATCCAAAGACGCTTGATCGACTGGTTCTTCTCAAATGCCGTCATGAAGGCTGCGCACTCATGGTCGTCGATGTCAGCGTTGTCCACGTGGAGCATTTCCAAGGTACAATGCGGTGAAACGAGATAAGACTCGAGTGTTTGAGCACTTTTTGGTCCGATTTGGTTTTGCGAAATGTCCAGTCGACGGAGATTCATTGTCAAACTGCCTTCACTTACAGCTTGTAGCAACTCATTTAGTCCGTCGTCACTCAGGCGATTATCCCGCACACTAATCTCTTCTACGTGGGGCAAATCATGCACGAGGCACTTGGCAAAAGCTGAAATGGAGGCATCTCCGAGCGATTGGAACGAGAAATCAAACACTTTTGTGTTTCTGTTGCGGATGAGAAAAGGCACAACTACTTGGTTTTTCGCTGCACAGGAGGCCAAGAAGTGAGCTCGTGGGGACAGTTTATCACGTAGTGGCAGCTCTGGTGCGTTTTCAATCGGCATAAGCAATGACGAGGCTCTGGAAATGAGTCGTGGCGGATTCAATTCGTCGCTCACTTGTTTCATTTCCAACGAAGATGGATACACGGGGACGAACGTGCTTTCAGAATCATCAACATCTTGTCGTGGACGTTCATTCTCTTGTGGCGGTCCTGATTCGAGGGTAGGAGTCACACCGACAGCAGCTTTACTGTCCATAAACAGATATGGTCGGGAATAAAGCTGCTTGTACTGCGCGTAGAACTTCTCCTTTGCAGTCTTGCCGAAGTAGTCGCGGTTGTCTTGGGTGTCAAATGTTCCTTTTTGTGAAATTCGACGGAGACGCAGAGCCCTTGCAGTGGCGTTTTCTCCATTACGATCGGCATTATGATTGGGAAGTGCTTCTACGTCGGTCTCAGGAGTCTACAGGGGTTACACAACACACAAAGCCATTAAATAATATACACAACAAATAATTTACAGAACACCATGGCACTATGCGAACTTTACCAGTTGTGTTGAGGGACTAGTCCTGTCTGTAGACGGTAGTGCTTGATCTACCGTTATGGCAAGTTCGTCGTCATTGGTAGAAGGTAAATGTTGGCTTTCTGCGTCGGCATTCTCTCGAGGTAATGTCTCCTTCTCCTCCAAATAGTGGTTTGAGTTCCTTCTCACCATCAAGTCTTTATGTGATTCAGACCTCACCAATTTCCGTTCTCGCTTACTCGTTATGAGCCGATTTGAGGACATTGAGTTTTGGTGGCGCAGCAATGGAATTTGGCGGGAAGCTGAAGATTCTGTGTCTGTACACTCTTGTTCTCGATTCTCCTCGTCCGGTACTAAAGGATCTCCAAAAAGCTGCATTGTACGCAAATAACGACGTTTACTACCTAGCGGTCGAATGTCCGCCGGGATGACTATAGGCGGGTCCATAGCCAGTGGCCCAGGAGGCATCTCTGGAAGAGGAACCGTGTCGCCGAAAGTGTTACTAGTTCATTCATTAAGTAGTAAGTACAAGTCCACGATAAAAGCTCGTTAGAACTTACCGGTACCACGGCACTTTGCTTTGTGCCTTGCCATGAGGGTCACTCTGTGCGTTTGACGTATTAACGCCTTCACCAAGAGCTACGAGGGAACTAGGGCGGCGGCGTATCGGAGCTGTGGCCACTTCACGGTACTGCATAGTCAAAGATGGCTACACTAGCGTTCGCGTCGTTTCGTGCACAAATTTGAAGTTGTGTGGTGTACACAATTTGCTCTTGGATCTTGAAGCGTCGTTGGTATAGTAGCTGGCAGGATGGAGGTGCATCATGAGAATATGGATACACCCGGCACATTAACGCTAACAACGGACGTGGTAATGAATCGGGCGGGAGTCTACGACTTAGTGGCGCTGAAAGAGGTGGCGGGTTTACGTTGGATAGAGAGCACTGTGTGCAAGAATACTTATCTTTTTTTTTACGGCTCCAGTTGATTCTGCGCGATGAAGAGCTGACACACGTAGATGAGACTTGTGCTCAAACTCTAGCGTCGCTAGAGATTCTGTCGCTTTCGCACAACCGCTTGGCATCACTGGAACATTTTCAGTATTTGGTCAACCTGATTGAGGTTTGCGACCAAATGTGAATAACTGTGTGATATACCGGCTAACCTGACGCGTTGTACTTGTGTACAGCTTAATGTGAATTTTAACCAGATCGAGAGACTCGACAATTTACAGGTGAAAGTGATGTGATTTAACTCAATCTTAGCAATGCAGGGAATCTTACTCTTGCATTGTTATTACTTGCATTGTTATTGCAGTGCAGTGGACTGGAGAAATTGTTCATTGCCAACAACAAGGTTTGAACAAGCTCGTTTAGTAGATATATATCGAGCGAATTCTAACGGGTACTTCTTCCTGATTTAATATTATTCAAGATCGTGGATATATCTCCTCTGCGTAAACTTCCCGAGCTTAATACGCTGTCCGTGTATGGAAATTGCATTACTGATCTTGATTCAGCATTGCACACCTGTCGTAGCCTACCGAGGGTACGGTTTGAGCCTGAAGTACTGACTGACATTGCCCTCCACGGAATCTAACAATTAAACTGATTTGGCATTTAGCTGCGATCACTGGATTTGGGTGGGAACCCATGTTCACGCGATGTAGAAGGATATAAATTCCGAGTTGTGAAAGCACTTTCGCGTCTCAAAATGCTGGATGGCGACCACATTACTCAGCTCGACAAAGAGTTGACCGAAGAGTTCTTTGCTTCCATGCACAGGGGCTCAAAACAGAGAAACAACGGATTTATTGGAGCCCGGCCATTTACAGCACCTGCTGCCGGAGTACGAGGAAGTTTGGCAGCGACAATTCCGGAAACTACGGTTTCGAACGGTACACTTGTCGACCAATGTTTACATTGACAAGAATTCTGACGCTGATTATGATACAGGTACCGATCCCTTCGCAAGTAATCTTATGCCCCGTGGCAATGTTCGTCTGTTCCGCGATGACTTTCTCAACAATAATCCGATTCTACTAGAGTATTTATCCCAGGACGCTGGCGGTGTGTCAGCAAGTGTAGAAAACACTAGCAACTCCACGCTTGAAAGTGACCAGGTCACAGATGACAACTCTCTACCAACCACATCGAGCTTTGTCGATAAAATGCGCAGTGCCAACCCTTTGCCAAGAAGCGAAACGGGAACTACTGTCGCTGATGCAGTGGACTCAACAAACCCTGGCGGTTTAAAGAAACTGAGTTTGTCTCCAAGTGTGTCGACGTCGCATTTGGGTGTCGATCCGTCGGACCCGAACACTACGATTCGGAAGTTGCTCAAGCATATCGAAGTGCTGATGGTACGAATCTGTTAGTTTTAACTTTAAAATGGTCGATTTTTTTCACCGAGTTCTTTGTTTTGGTAGGAAACCCTGGACAAGTGCAAGAATCATCAACTTGACGCAGTTAGTAAGTCACTATTGGAAGAGAACAAGCAGCTACAAACCGAGAACAATAACCTTCCGATCCTCCAAGAGGAGATTCGAGACTTGAAAAAACAATTAGCCAGCGCTCAAGGGGACCCTGGTGAAGCAAGAATGCTCGAAACGAAACGCGTCAAGTCATTAGAGGTACAGACGTAAAAATATGTTTGGACATGCACCTTCGTTAATTCTAACATGCTTCGTCTGGACGTAGCAACAAAATGCGAGTTTACAACGGGAGAACGCGCGACTGCGAGAAATGCTGCTGCGCCAAACAAAAGAGACTGAAAAATCCCTCAACGATCTGAAATCTCCACGAACACCTTCAGACGGAAACGAAACAGCAGCGAAACATCAATCTCAACGTTTAGCTCACTCAGAGGTAAGTACAAAGTGTCGTTGGTACTAACAATTACACTTATTCACTCTCCGTTTTTTTTTTTTTTTTGACACAGCTGCTTGATGAATCTTCGTTAATCGACATGGAGCTGACTGAGCTCATACTACACAATGAAGTTTCACTGGAGCTCATCCGAAATGTTCGTTACTGATGCTGTAGTGGCTTGCACTATTGAAAGTACTAAGAAAAAACCTGTGAAATAGGGCATCAAAAACACGAAAAAGGAGTGGGAAGAACACTTCCAGCAAGCAAAAGTGGAGGACACTGCACGAGTACGTCCTCAGACATCCATGGGGTTCACTTCCTATAGCAGTAGATCAAGAGAAGGCTTGGACAGTTTCCTCGGTGTGGCTCAGGATGCAGCTACACGAGATCGACGGCTGCACACATCGGCAGGCTTTCGCAACGGACCTGAAGCGCATCTGCTTCGACAAATGCCAGTACATCCTCTCACCAGCATTCGCGAGACGAGCAGTAGTGACGGCAGTTCGACGACAAACATTCTTACCTTATAAGCTACAAAAGAGTAAGCTGAACGACCACAGCCACCCACAAAAGATACAAGCAAAATACATTTTGTGTCACCCTCGGTCAACTCGATTGCTGTCTCCTTTGGGTCTTTCGTGTTTTGCTCGGGTGTGCAAGAGTTTAGGACGTCCCCTGAGCTGCCGCGTCAGGCCACGTGCCGTCCTCTAAGACCGGCCAGTTGGTTGAGTTTCGCTCATGGACCGGTACTAAAATCTCGCGCGTACTAACATCCACCTGCGAAAGTTCTGCACCATTGTAGCAACACAACAGACAAGTTACTCAACCTGCTAGTATGAGCAGTAAACCAGACCAGCCGCTTACCTTGCAAGGTGAAATTGAACAGCGCAGGGGGCGGTACGTCGTTTGGCAGCTTCAGATCTTCCTGTCGTAGCTCATCGAAGAACGGATGCGCCGCGGCCTCCAGAGGTTTCACACGTCTGTAAACATACAAGTCGTATTAGCATCATCCATTGGATTGTAGTAATATGTATACAAGAAACTTACCGCTTCGGGTCGTAGACCAGCATCTTGGACAGCAAGTTAATAGCCTCGGGTGGAGTTCGTGAGCGGAAGATCTTGCTCCAGGAATGAGCTTTAATCTGCGGGAACTGGAACTCCGTGTAATTCGGGTTCATGGCTTCGATCTCCTCGCGCTGCGGCGTGCCCAACACCTTGATAATTTCAACCAACTGATCCACACCGCTCTCACCAGGGAACAAAGGCTGACCCAGTAGCAGCTCAGCGCACACACAGCCAAGTGACCAGATGTCTATCCAAAAACATCGTCAATTCTAAGAAAAAAAAAAAAGCAAATAACATAACAACCTACCGATCGCTGTGGTGTAGTCCGTGGCGCCGAAAATCAGCTCCGGGGCGCGGTAGTAGCGCGAACAGATGTACGACACGTTGGGCTCGTTCTTCTGTAGCACCTTGGCGCTTCCGAAGTCACAGAGCTTTACCACGTGAGATCTGGGGTCAAGCAGCAAGTTCTGTGGCTTGATATCGCGGTGACAGATGCCCATCGAGTGGATATAGGCCAGCGAGCGGCAGATCTGGTAGATGTAGAGCTTCACCAGCACAACAGGCATGTACTGTTTGGCCTTCTGCAGCTGCCTGGCAACGCCATAGACCGTATCAGGAATGTACTCGAGCACGAGGTTTAGATACAACTCGTCGGGCTTCTCTCCGTTGCAATAGAAGCAATGCTTAAGTTGCACAATGTTCACATGGTGTAGTTGCCGCATAATCTGCAACTCTCGATTCTAAAACGGAAATTTTATCACAAATAAGAAAAAAAACATAAATAAATAAATAAATAGTCTCACCTTGAAGCGCTTGTCCTGTAGCACTTTCTTGATCGCTACGATCTCGCCAGATTCCTCAACTGTCGCCTGGAACACGACGCCGAACGAACCGTTGCCGATGATCCTCTCGGCTGAGTAATGGATCGTTTTGCCCTGTTTGTTGATAAAATACGGCGGTAAAATAAATAAAATATCCAAAAATTCAAGCTTTTGCGAGTCGTACATCCGACAGTGTGTGCGTCGAGTCACCCACAGTGATGCCTGTGCTCTCATTACGCAGATCCTCCTTCTTCTTCGTAGTGGACGCTGTGGTCTGGACAGTTGCAATCTCGTCGTCCACGCTGAGCTGGAGCGTCGAATCTTTAGACGCTGGCGGCTTGGAGTCGCTCATGGCGGCGGAAGGAGAGCGAGCAGAGGCGGCGAAATCCCCTTCGGCTCTCGGGAGGCTTTTATCTCTACAGACGGGGGTTTTGTAAGGAGGGTGGAAGAGTATACTGAATCCAAGTCAAGAACGTTTTTATTCCGAGCGGGAATAACAAACAGCTATTGGACGAAAATCAGGCCAATCCGAAGTGGAGAACAGATGGAGGGAAACTTCAACTTGTAGGATTGCAAAATTCATTTTGACATTTTGACTGTCAGCAGCATATATTTGTGTTGCAATGGCAAGAGAAACATGGGAAGGAGTTTGAAAGAGTGGCGGTTTGCTGCTACGTGTATATGCTGGCTGAGGGCGGAGGGCGGAGTGCGGTATGACACGTTACGTGGCGCGGATGGCTCACCGTGATTTGCGTGGTACACACCCAGACTTTATCAGCATCCGTCGCCGGATCTGTTGAGAATCTCAACTTGAGATTGCCAACACGGGAATGGAAAAGATGCGAATGGTTTGCAACCAAAGGTCCAAGCGAGTATTCGTGGCTATCTCCATGTTCATCTGCTGTACCAAATTAGCTTCACCAGTATCGTCAGGAAAATGGCAGGAAGAGTTTCCTGAAACTCTTCCCTGCATGCTGCTTGCTTGCGATGTGAAGAATCCGTTAGCGTTTAACGCCACCGTAGGAGAGCGTTTGGTGATGCATGTAGAATGTTCTCCATCAGGGAGGAGTTGCGAAGGTGCCGCTATCCTCCATCTCATTTGTGTCTGAGAACGCTAAAGTGGTGAAACGAAAAGTCCACATTCTTGGCGGAGTTTAATCTCTGACTGATAATTTTGGAGCTTTGGATGTGAAACTTGAGTATGAAGCATTAAGCGTTATTCGCACTATTTGAAGACATTCTCGGTGGTGTAGCACGCGATGATGCTCAGCTGCTCAGCACCTCTGTCATGTACACGTCTCTCAGTTCTCATCTCATCTCACGATGAGCATCCACCAGACTTCGCCTTCCAGTAAGGTGCTTTCCACCTCACGTCGTCCCTGGCTGCTGCTAGCAGGACTGTGTTCCCAGCTTCTTTTTGGAGAACATGAGCTTGTCAGCGCGCAGAAAGATTCATGGGATCCCAATGGCAAGTTCCCGTCTCCAACTCTGCTCATGGATGCAACCACCGAGCAGACGAATTTCTGCAAACCACGTCATCTAGACTTGATGCGTAGTAAACCAGTGCCCACGAACGCTTGGTGGGCAAACCTCGTCACGTGTGATAGCACAACGAATGCCACTGGACCCATCTGGCCGAACCCGTTTGCAGTCAATGTTGAGGACTCGGGCGCGTACGGTTTCTCACTCAGCTATCCGTACCGCAACAGATTCTTCGGTGGAGTCACGGACGGTGTAGCCAAGTACTATGCGCACCCGAAGCGCAACGAAATCATATTAACCGCTTACGAGTTCGCGACGTCGATCCCGGATATGCAGGTTACCAACTGGACGGACTTGGGTGTCACCGTTCAGCTCCAGGCGCCATCATCGTCGGGTACCTTGAAATCCAGCATGGTGAGTGGTATGGCATACTTCACCGCCACGTACCAAGGTCTCACCCCCGAGATTCTCTTTGAAGCTCCCATTGCAACCATCAATGGAGCCTCAGTCAATGTTGGGACTCGCTACTCTGGAACGAAATTCAACGTCCTGGCGGTGAGTGGCCAACAGTGGTGGATCCACGTGTACCCGTCTTCCTCGCAGTCAAACGGCATCCAACTCAATCTTGCGACTAGTATGATCCTACAAGGTTTGTCCTCGTTCAACGGGGTGATCCGAGTCTCCGCTATTCTTGATTCCACGCAATCGAATGCACAGGACACGTACAGTAGCTGTATTGTCACTGGAGGAGATGTGGAGATCACCAATGACTCGAAATACTCGTTCAAATGGAAGACCGACGGCGACTGCTCCAAAGGGCTATTCCACTATGCTTTAGACCACCACACCAAGACCTTAACTGCCGCTAGCGTCACTGAAGTGGTTAACACCTCCATGTACTCGGCCACTAGAGGTCTCATGAAGGGGTTTGTCACGGTGGTATCTCCGCCTGCTTGGAGCTTCTACGAGTCTCGAAACATTCCCGTGACGCATTATCCAAGATCTCGGTTGACGAAAGCTGCAGCGCTACAGCAAGATCTGTTCACGAAGCTGCGTGCAGATATTCAGAGTATCTGGACTGTGGCAACTGACGGGAGCTACTACTTCACGGGCAAAATGGTGCAGCAATACGCTTCATTATGCCTGATGGCCAACGACCTGGTGATTGTTGGCACGGATGTGTCACTTTTGCGTCGCTGTGTGACCAAATTGGAGAGTGCTATAACTCCATTCCTCGACAATAGCTGGAAGTACAAGCTCAAATACGATGCTGTCATGGGTGGCGTTGTGAGCACCGAGGGGTTCGTGACGGGGGATATGAACGCCGACTTTGGCAATACTATATACAACGATCACCACTACCACTACGGCTACTGGGTGCACATGGCTTCGGTGATAAATTACTTGCATCCGACGTGGACGCGTATCGGAGAGCTGAACAATATGACGAGGTTACTGCTGCGTGACGTTGCCAATCCTTCGCGTGAGGACCCGTACTTCCCCAAATTCCGCGGTTTCGACTGGTTTCGTGGACACTCGTACTCGCACGGCATGACTTCACTAGGAGATGGCAAGGACGAAGAATCTACGTCCGAGGATATCAACCTCGCGTACAGCATGGCGCTGTTTGGTCAGACAACAAAGCACACGCGCATGAAGGACATCGGTCGTCTCATGACTAAGGTCAACGCGCGCTCCATTCAGACGTATTTCCTGTTTGACAGCACGAACACCATCCACCCCGCAGCTTATCGTTCCCGTATGGTGCCTGGAATTCTGTTTGACAACAAGGCTGACTACGCGACGTGGTTCTCCGCAGACGAGTACATGATCCACGGCATTCAAATGCTACCGGTGACCCCAGTCACGGAATACGTGCGGACGTCGACTTTCGTCCAAGAAGAATGGGACAACATCTTGTCCAAGTTGGACATTGTGAAGAACGACGAGCTCTCTAACTCGTGGTTATCGCTCTTGTACCTCAGCTACGCACGGGTGAATAAGGCACAGGCGCTGGTCAAGCTCAACCAATGCACCGCCATGATGAACGGCCTCTCGCGCTCCTGGGCGCTCTACATAGCTGCGCAATACTAAACGTGGCATCTAAGTCGGTGCATAATTACCTGTCAGAAGATCGCTGCTCAAAATCATTTCTGCTTCAACTTAAAAATATATTTTTTCCGAATGATGATTTCTACCGTTAATTCTGTTAAGATTTTTTTTTGTAAAAAAAAAGAGAAACGATTCACTCGGACGATTGATATCTCCAAGGTCGATTGAAGGAATCGATCATTTCTCTATTCGTCGTTTAATGTTGACGTTCTAATCACGTTCCTTGCCAGCACACAGCTGACCTGAAAGCTGCTTATTGGGATCGCGTTCCTCAAATTCAGCAAGGAAGAGTACGCGCAGCACGTTAACAAGTTCCTCTCGCTCGATCTTCTGCACATTGGACTCAGTTTTACCACCGCGAGCATATGGTGGCATCTTGAGGCTGGCGTCAATAGCTTCGACAATCGCATTGCGCATTTCTTGTAGCAACGCCGCCGAGCGGAAGGAGCTCTGGAACACCACCCAGTTGTTCACCCGCAGCCCAATCGTCTCGTTCCCATCCTTGTCCTTACGTCGCAGCTGTGGCAATGGCTCCAGTGCATGGCTAAATAGACACACGGCCACTGGTAATACAAGACTGGAGGCTGGGAGATACACCTGCGACGTGTGGAGCTTCACTGCGTACGTGAGGAAGTTACTCGCCCGGAAGCTTGCCACTTTGTAGTTGATCGAGCCTGGATGCATCACAACAATACCGTGATCACGTTCGCGAAGTACTGCACGCTTTGGACCATACGCCATCGGCGGCTCTGCATGCACCAGGTTCGGAGCTAAACCAGCATACAAGATCGCAGATATCGTTGCCAACTGCTGGACACTCATACGCTCGTCTCCTTCCTTCTCCGACGACGGCAAGAAGCCGAGCTGTGCCACAAGTCCTCGGAACTGACGCTTGAGTTTACTGAGTTCACGCAGCCCTCGGTGACTCAGGAAGTTTCTCTGACAGAAACTCTTCTCACTAACTCCAGTGCTCTTATCATGCTGTACAACATAACGCCAGGCCTCAAAAGCGTTCACGTCGGTAAGTAAATCACTCGCAGCAACCGCGAACGTTTGACGGGCTTGTTTCATTTCACTCTGACGACCAAAAGGAGCCACAAACGGCGACTTGGTTTCCAGCACGGCAGCACATGTGCTCGCAGCGTCAAACACACCAAAGAGCGCGCCCAACAAAAGCAGCTTGCCAACCTTCACGTCCACAGGCAGTCGAGCTAAATGCTCACCCAGTTTCGTAAGCGCTTCATCTTCTCGATTTAAAGCGCCAATCTCGAACAACTCCTCAAGTGCATCCTGGATACTAGAATCATCAGGAGGATCCAAACACGCACGCAGGAACTCTCCACAACCATCTTTCTGTTCGCCACCAACACCGAACGTCTTGATCTGTAAGCATAAGGACGTTAAAGGCGCTCGGCGGATCTCAGGCACAGGTTGTTCGAGCATAACGGAGCGGAAGACGGACTGCGGGAATAGACGGAAACACGAGCCTCCACTCGTACGGCCAGCACGTCCAGCGCGCTGCTTGGCGTTGGCACGCGCAACCCAAATCTCGTCCAGTACATTCGTGGGACGCTGTGCATCGTGGCTCATTTGCTTGACGCGTCCAGTATCAATCACAACCTTAACATCATCAATAGTCAAGGACGTCTCGGCGATATTTGTCGCTCCGATTACGCGAATAACACCGGGACGTTGTCGAAAAATACGCTGCTGTTCTTGCGCTGAAAGCGACGAATGCAATGGTAGTAGCTCGAATTCTCGGCCATGTGGATCATGACGCAGTAGACGACTGCCTCCAAGTATATCCAGTAGCGTCGTGATCTCTTGAAGACCAGGCAGGAAGACAAGAACGGATGCACTCCTCTTGTTGCTCTTGGATAGAGAAAGCAGATCTGTTTCCGTCGTGATATGTTCTAACAGCGCTTGAACGAGCTCGTAGTTGACAACAGACGGGTCCATGCGCTCTAAAGCAAGCAGCGTAGACTCACTGTACTTCTCGGCTAACATCATCTGCTCCTCACTTGCTGTTGTCTTCGAGGCACTGGATGATGAGGTCCATGATACCTGTTGGGTGTACGAAGTGCCTCCACGGCCAGAGATCGTAATTTGAGTCGAATTCCTGTCCGATCCGCTCTCGTCCACAGGAATATAGGCGGGAGATTCCTCATCTACGACAAATTGTGTCCTTTCAAGCACATCTTCGAGGTAGAATTGCTCCACTGGGAACGTGCGACCAGGGACTTCAATCATAGGACACACTGCCGCACCACCAAAGTACTGCTGGAAGCTTGCAGCGTTGAGTGTAGCACTCATGAGAATCACCTTTAATGGAGGCAACGTGCCACCAAATTTCCGGCGTCGAGCTGCATTACCCTCAGCGAGGAATTGACGCAACATGGCCAGCAACACATCGCTCTGGAGATCGCGTTCGTGCACCTCATCCACAATAACGTGGCTCACTTCCTCGCCTAATGTGCGTGGGTCTTGCAACTTCCGAAGCAAGATTCCTGTCGTACAGAAGAGCAGGCGTGTACGTCTAGTCATACGCGTCTCGAGTCGGATCTGGAAGCCTGTGAGCGAGTCCCCCGTGCCCATATTGGCTTCACCCAGCTCTTCGGAGACACGTTCAGCCAGACTAATAGCAGCTAGTCGACGAGGCTGAGTGCAAATAATTTGTCCACGCGCACCGCCAGGCTCGGAAAGCAGCAGGTCTTCAAGCAAAAACTGCGGCACCTGCGTACTCTTACCACAACCAGTCTCACCGGAGATCAGGATAACGTCGTGGTCCGACAGCATCTCGACGACCTGTTTCTTGAACGATGCTATCGGCAGAGACTCGCGCTGCTGAAGCTTCGATCTGTACGCACTCGAACGCATACGCTTTTCGAGCTGCTCACGTAGCTGTTGAGACAGATCCAACGCAGCTTTACGGTCGCTTTCGCTTTCCTCTTCCACCTGCAATTCGTTCGATACCATGATATCGCTTGGAGATTCTTTGAGTGCCGTCTCCTCGTCGGATAAATCGGCATCCCAGTCGTCAACACTCCAATATTCCAGCGCATTTTCAGTGTCTTCGACATCGTTCTTTACAACTGGAGCTGAAGACTTTAATGATGCTGCTGGTATCTCTATGACAGCTCGCTTTTCAGCAATCTCAGCGGGGAGAGTATTGAAAATCTCGGTCAATAGTTCGTCTTGTTCATCGCGATCAGCAGCAGCTGCCGCTGCATCATTGTCTTGCTGCTCCTTTATCCACTTCTGCCACATATCACGGTACACTGGCGGCAACACTCGATAAAGTGGAAGGTCCGGTGCTAGCTCGAACAATGCGCTAGTAGCGACGGCATCTTTGGCATCTGAAATGGACTCAAACCCTTGCACTGCGTCACTGGCATCTCTCACCGTTACTTCTTGCTTACCGCGGTTTTTGCTACCCAGCACGACCGAATACAAGTGACCTCCACCTGGAGCTCGCGACAGCTTCTTGTACTGAGGCTTCTGCAGTCCATTCTTGCGGCAATGCTGCTCCAGGTGATCACGCGGCGACTTTCCTGTCCAGGCCGCTGAAGCAGCAGCTTGCGCCTGAGCAGCTTGAGCTACCGCCGCTTGAACCTTCAGCATGTTGCGACCTTTCTTGTTCTTTCCTCCTTTTCCCTTCTTGCCCTTTGAAGCTGCGAGGTCTGCAGCGGCTTGGGCGGCAATGAGGGCAGCAGTGTCAATAGCTGTGCTCTTCTTAATCTCCTCAGCACTAACCACAGTAGTCTCAGCTTCTTCCAACAGCCCGAACATGCCACCATCGTCTTCGTCATCTGCTGGTTGAGTGGTCAAATTTGGTTCTTCAGTCTTTTCTTTCACCTGAACGTCCTGTTCGATCTCTGCCTCCTTCTTGTCAACCTGATCGCTCTCTTCCTGCTCCTCTGTTATGCCAAGAGCCAACGACAATAATTCGTCATCTGCTTCTTCAATCGCGTGGTTAGATATAGCAGACACATCTTTTTTCTCAGGAACAGAGACCATCTTCTTCTCCTTCTCGAGACTTCTTTCTTTCTTGGAGTCTTTCTTCGACTGTTGCATGGGATCTCTCCATCCTCGAGCGAGTAATTGACGTCGTGTATCCTGTATCTGTTCATTCAGTTCTCGAGTCTTTTGCTTGTCACCACTCTTATTTTTCTTCTTGCTCTTGCGTTCCTTCAAGCGATTTAACGCCGCCACCAGGTCATTGTAGCGTTTCTCCAGCTCCTCCAGCTCGCGAGCTTCAGGCGTCACTTCGGCCTCCCGTCGAGCCATTTCCTCCTCTCTTGCTGCCATGCTGAGCACATATTGCTGCGTCCACGAGAGCGCCTCCGTCTGCTTGGCGTCTGTTTGATTTTTCTCCTGGTTTTTCTCCTGAGACGTTGGTTCCTCCTTCTTCATGTGTTCTGCCTTCTTCTGCTTCTCCTGTTCTACCCGCTCTACCTCTTTCTTTCTTACGGGGACGTTCACCTCAGCCAGCAACTCTCCGCTCTCGTCAGCATCCTTAACACTCAGTAGTTCTGTAGGTAGAGCACGTAGAGTGGGTGGTAGCTCGTTGCTAGCGTACTGTAGCGTCAGGAAGCTCAACGCATCCTCCAGCGAGTTTGTGTAGGCTAGCGCTTCTTTGCTTAAGGCCAGCGATGCACCGTAGTCATCACGCAACGAGCGTAGCGCTCGCGCTAGTTTCTTCTTCGTACGGTCCTGTAGCTGTACGTCCGCGGGCTCCAACGAAGCTAATACTCCAGGACGGAAGAGTGCGCGCTGCTTCAGGCGACGAGAATGTAGGATGCCATCGTGCGCGAGCTGCTCCAGGTCCCGACGGAACTCGAATCCCCGCTCTGGGTGCATGTGTAAATTACTTAGCGAAATAAAATATGCTTGGATGGCATTCGGACGAAAAAAACAACAATAAAAATTTGATGGGTTTTTTTTCGTCTGAATGCAATCCAAAGAAAATTTTATTACGCAAAATTTTCGGTTTTTCGCTTTAAGTATTATTACTGAGAGGATTGCATATCACAACAAAAAACCCTCAATAGTTATAAGGTTATTTCATCTCTTGGATTTTTTTAAAAAGGGTTTAGAATAAATATTTTATCAACTAAATAAAAGTTGGGGTATCAAATAACATATATTTTTCGCATTTATTTAGTAGAAGCATAATGTTAATTTATTTGAGTAAATCATATTAAAATTTACTTTAATTTATAATTTTTTTTCAAACTGCGCAGTTATTGCTGTTTATTGTAATTTGCAGTTAACTTGTTGACATTTTAAACTTTAAAAAATTAACCTGCAATCGTAAATACGTGTAAAAATTATTTTCCTTGTATTTACAATTCTAAGTTATGTTTAAAATCATCTATATGATGTAGTAAATGGAAGAGTGATATCTGGATTGTCTTAATGGTAAATCTGATGATCTCACGTTGAACAGTAAAACGCACATCTACACGTTGTGGCAATTATCAACTGATCCGTTTGCCGCTTGTTTAATTAAAGGCGGTTAACGAAGCTCCGCTATCGGCTTTGAGGGATGCTAGTTAGAGACTACAATGTGCTTGGGCGAGTGTTTAAACTGATGGATATGACCTGTAGTTATCTGAACAGCGCTCCGACGTTCAGGAGATTACAGAGCGTTGCACATCAACTGGTATGTGAGAAGGCGTCTTTGTTTTGATGATGTAAGACAGATCTAGCTTCTGATAATCCAAACTGAGCCGACCGTATATTGCCGCTCAGATGATATCTCTATGTGAAACAGAGAGGTGACGTTGATCGCTCCCACCAAAAGCCAGTAGATGTTCTCTGGATATTTATATCCAGAGTCTTAGCCGCTTCGGAAACCTCGGATATCCTGTATCATATTATATTTGGTTACTTTTGTAATAACTCAATACCTTGAATTCACAAAAGAAGATCTAAAGCGACGAATTACTTTATAACCTTTTAAGATCCGATCCAAAAAATGGTGAATGTTGACCCAGAACGACATTCCCGCAACCTCACCGATTGTGTACTTCACAAAAATGAGTGAATGTTGACCCCGTCGGACAAGAACCACATTCTCGTACCCTCACATTTAGAAGGGGAAGCTGCTGGGAAGCGATCTACGGAGAAGGCAATGTTGCCTTGCTAAGGAGAGGCGGGAGTCGTAAGGGGTGTCGTTGTATAGCCAATTAGTGTGACGTCTATCTATCACATATATAACCATGATGTGGGAGTAGAAGGCTACTTTGCCTTGCTAAGGTGTGAGGGAAGAAGTCGTAAGGGGTTGTGTTGTATAGCAAATTAGTGAGATGTCTATCTAGCATTTAAATAGCCATGATGTGGGAGGGTTACGACATTTTATTTAAGCTGGTATATAATGGGAGAAACTTCGGAGCACTGGGACATAAATAGAACCAACAGTTGTGACAGAAATACGGCATATTTGAAAACACGACGTATTTAATTAATCTAGACTACATTCACTCAGAAAACACCCTTTTGTCTAAGGGTAAAGCTGGAATTATCATCATGGAGCCTCGACGTTCTACTCTGTCAGCCTATTCTTCCTCTAACCCGGTTCCAGCTCCTGACGAACCTGTTGAAGAGAGCGTGCAGTTAATGTTCACTACGTCCACTGCGGACGTGCCTACGGGCTTAACAACTAGACCTCTCGAATCCGCATCTTCGCCACTTTTCAAAAGGAGGCCCATAAAGCCGCCTTCTGCCTCGGAAGTACATCTGCAGGCTATACCGTTCAACGCACAGTCGGTACCCACGGGAGCAACACTCCCTGAGACTTCTGCATGCACACAGCCAAACCCAAGTATTGTGTTAGCTCCGCTGTCGTCGGGAGTTGGATCAACTGAGTCGCCCATACTCGAATCTCCAATCGCACCAGTGCCAATCAAACCTACAACAGATGCAACGGTACCGACCAACTATCAACTAAAGCCACCTCCTGAGGAAGAATATTCGAGTGAAGCTGATGCAGAAGCTGCTATTCATGCGTGAACTGTACAACATGGCTTAAACGTAACTAAAAAGTAACTAGAGAGAAACAAAAATGGAGACGTGAAATACAGACTATTTGCGTGCGATCAATGGGGTAAACCCAAGAACGCTCGACGTCTGCGTGACCAAGATCGTGTACGCACAAATCGACGCTCCGGTCGGTTCGGATGTCCTGTGCGCATCAAAATCGTAGCTGTTGATGGTACGAATCCTACAGGACCATGGAAGATTATGTACACTCGAGATGGCAGTCAGATCCATAACCACCCACCTTCTCGCGATATCCGCGTACACGTTACTCATCGTCAACGCGCAGCGAAGAACGATCAACCTGGTAAAAACCAAAGCGGAAGTAATCGGCTACGTTATCTTCTATGGTCACATCCAGGTGCCCTGGAGCTCGCTAAAGATTGTTTAGATGTTCTGGTCCTCGATTGTACCTACAAAACCAACAAGCACAAGTACCCGTTACTCAACATTATCACGGTGGCAGGGAAAAAACTATTTTACCACTGGTTCAGTGTTGGTTGCCTGGTGAGGCTGAGTCTAACTACTCATGGGCTCTATCGACTCTAAAGACGATGCTGATGGACAATGGAATAGATCTTCCTCGCGTTTTAGTTACAGATAGAGCTCGTGCGTGTATGAATGCTACGGATATTGTATTCCCGTCGTCTGCCAAACTTATTTGTCGGTGGCATGTAAATCGAAATGTGGAGGCCCGGGTGAGGAAAGTATTGGGGGAAATTAAGCTATCTAAACCCGATTTAATTGGGAGAACACGAATGAACACGTGTAAGACGAACGCGTTTCTCGAAGAATATTACTCGGCCTTACAAGCGGAAATTGAAGAAAGTTTTACGAGAAGCTGTATCACCCTTCGTAAAATGAATAGTTCATTGGCAGACTATCTCGACAGTACCTGGTGGACACACAAGGAGAAAATTGTTAAGTGCTGGACAGATAAACACTTGCACTTTGGGATTCTCGACACGTCCACGGTTGAGGGGACTCACGCAAAGATTAAGTCGTGGTTAGTGTAACGGGCCAGGTATTTACCGTTACTAGCTTACACATAGCGATGAGGAAGCTCGTACTTAATACGACAAGATTCAATTCCCGGTAAAATAAAACTCTGATTTAAATTTGGTCCAGGGCGGAACCCCTGGCCCCTTGAGAACCACTCAAATGCAAGTCGGCTCCTGATTGGCTGAATATCTGACCTTTCAACCAATCAGAGAGCGACAATGCAGCACGCGCTACTCGCGTGCTTTGTACCTACTTTTGTATATCAATCTACCTACTTATGTAAATGGTGACCCATTACATCACCCCCCTCTCAAAGTTGCGCTTACGCAACTCAAGCGCAGAGTGGGTGTCAAATGATCAATCTTGGAAATGGCCAACGGGGGGAACGCGCCCAATTTGCCTCTGCGCTTCGCAGGGGCCTCACAACTCGACTCGCGTCGAGAATAACGGAAGCCAGCAGCAGAAGACATCAGCGATGAACTCGGGCAGTGCGACAACGACGACGGCGACAACAACGACGACAGCGACAGTGACAACGGCAGCGATGCCAGTAAGGGAGCCGTCACGTAGACTCGGCGTGATGGACAGCGAGCTTCGAACGTGGGACTTGTACGACCTGTCCGGAGCGGTGAATCCGGACACACCGGAAGCGATGAAGACCTACTTCCGCCGCTTCCGTGGGCTACGGCAGAAGAGTATCGAGGGTGTCGAATACGGCGCGCTTCAGGAGTCGTGGTGTGCCTTCGTCCGGCGCTGGAACCGGATGACTCAAACTGGAGAAGACTTCGTCGCTTGGCTCGAAAGTCGCGAGGGCACCATCTCTGAGCACTCACTCAGCGAGCTGCGCCGCCGAATCTACGATCACACATTCCACGACGTGAGCCGCATGTGCTACGTTCACGTTGCGGAGGGCTGCGAAACTTGCAATGGGCCCCGGCCCACTGAAGAAGACTGGCGTGCGCACGTCGCCGAGCGACCACTCGGCGAGGACGAAAATATCTTGATCCAGCACTACAGGCGTTCACTCTCCGAGTTGGCTCGTTCGGTTAACATCGCGGGCTCGCGCCGGTGGCGTTTCCAGCGGAGCAACTCTCCGCCAACGCGTCGAGGTATCTCTGATGGCCACGCGCGCTCTCGGTCGCGCTCACGTGGCCGTTCGCGACGGGAAGCTGGTTCGCTGAGAAGCGAGCTTGGATCTCGGTCACATTCACGTTCACGCGATCGCTCGCGTCGCCGAACTTGTTCTCCAGCGCGTGGGCGACGATCTCGTTCGCGCTCGCGTACGTATCGGACTGGTTATTGGCCACGGCAATCTTCGTCTCATACTCCTGAACCACATCCGGAACGTCCCGGAGGAGATTGGCGCGGAGCTCCCACGTATCGTCCTTCGGGGAGAAGCCAAGCCAGCGGACTCTATAACGGCGAGTGGTCGGAATCGTCCGGCCGGCACGCCCGCGAGTCAATGCTCGTGGGGATCTTCAATGTGTGAAATGAGCTCTCTGATAGAGGTCGAACGGAATATCTGTTCTGTCACGCCGATAGTATCGCTTCCTAGACTTCCGTGGGACTCTAACCGCAAATTTCGCGAGGCTAATAGCTTTGCTGTCGCTATTAGTGAATCCGTAAGCACGTTGGGTATGGCAGAATATCGGCTGGCAATTCAGGCGTTGGCGCAAGTATCGACAATGTTTACACAGAAAAAGTTTGACCTGATCAAGGAGCTATCTTCCGTGCAGACAACCGATAGTACTCTCGGTACTACGTCAGAGGCTACGATTTTGGAACCAGCATTACATGATAGTCAGTCTGTGGAATTGGAAGACCGCTCTGTGAGCTTGGTGGACCAGCCCGAGGAGCTGTCAGTGGATTTACCAGCGTCTGCAATAGCCCAGTCAGTGGAGATGATGGATCTGCCTCCGTCGGTGCCGCCGGTGCTTGAGTCGGTGCTTGAGTCGGTTCCTCAGTCGGTGCTTGAGTCGGTGACTCAGTCGGTGGACTTAGCGGATCAGTCGGTGGAGTTGGAGAATCAACCGGTTGAGTCGGTGTGTCAGTCGGTAACACAGCTCACTCATTTTTCTTGAATCCGAGCCAATTAATGCTGAGTCACCTGGATTTGAGATAGCAAACCCCTTACGCCCACGAGGCCGCCCAAAGCAAAAAAACGAAGACTAAGAAAGCGAAACGAAATGTACCCATCCTAATGGCACAAGAGGATTCGATCCTTCACAACGAAGGCATGAGCCTAAAGACAGTCGAGGACCTCCTTTCACACGAGCCTACCTACACAACTTGTGCTGGACCGCTGCGACGATTCCAGCTATTCGTGATTGAAAGGAAGATGAAGCCACCAATACCCCACGTGATTTCGCTACTGCCTGCTAGCAAACATGTCGTGGATTCAGCGGCCATTTCCCGTATTTTGACCAAAGAACTGCTTCAGAGAGCAAGCAAAAAGTGGTTACTCTACCAAAAAAAAGCACAGGAAATTGCCAGAGCGAGACTTTGCAGTGGAATTTCCTGGGCTGTTTGTAATCACGATGGAGACACTGCGAACCATGAAGCTATGGCACCAAGCAGTCAAAGAGCTGAACAATATCGAGAGAGCAATAACATGGATCGCAGAAATTGATTTCTCGTTGGACATTTCGCCAGCATTTAAGGTAACCAGATGCAGAGTTGGCATCGAAAGTCGAAGCAATTCCGATATTCTCTGAAAGGGTAAGCACTATGCATATTTTGAGGATAACAACAACCGACACTGTGTATGCAAACTATGTAGATTCGGATCGTTGACTTTGCGTGCAGATCCCTACTTAGTGACACTGCATTAACAGAGGCAATGACGAAGCTGTTTGGCCATCGCGAGGACGTCAAGACTGTTGACCCAGCAATATGGGGTGTCGTGGAGAGAGAAAAAAATCAGTATCCCAGACGAAGAACTGAAACGCCTGTTCAGCTGTATGTATCACTGAACAAATTGTATTGCTTCCGGTGAACTGCAACGACACGCATTGGTGCGGAATCATGATCAACTTTGCTGAGAAAGCTTTCAAGTATTACGATCCCATGAGCTCCAGCTACTCGTTGACCGTGAGAGTACTAGCGCAAAAAATTGCGCTACATTTGCCTGCTATAATAGGGCGATACCGAGTGGATCCCTACGTGACAAACTTTGGAGTTCAACTTGACAGCTACAATTGTGGAATCTACGTCCTGCTTGCATTCGAAACGTTTTCCAGTGAAGATAGCATAGGTGAACTGCGGAAGAAGATACTGAAGTACCAGCGCTATCGCTATTTGCAGATATGCCTGTGAGGCCATACATTTTGTTTTCCTTTATTTGCGTGGTTGTTGTATCCGATACGTAGCGTTTAGATTTTAACTTCGTTCTTACAAAGTGCTCATATCCGGATTATACGAGCTATACAGCAACGGAGGACGTCATCACTGTATTATAAGATCTCCTGCTCTCTCTTCGTCGGGCACAATCGGGTACAGTCGGTGGTTGTTCGGTCACAATTGTCTCGTCTAGGTACTTGGCTGTCGGTCACTATAACGCGTGCCTTCCATAAACTAAATGGTCGGATTGTCCTAAAATATTATAAATTACTGTACAAAAAGTGAGAGGTCATTGAAAGCGTGTGATTATCAAAATTTGATAATCACAGATATTTAATATCTCTAATCCTTTATACCTGCAATGTTTTTGAATCACCCACGAGGATGTTGCGGTGCCATGTTCGTACAGCATGCCAGGCTGCAAGTAATTTATAAACTTGAAGTAGTTAGAGCTTTTATGGGCTAAATACCACGATATCGCTTATCCCACAGGGATAATGACCCAGGGCCCACTTACATACGCCACCACGTGCTACTCCCTCGGCTAGTTGTGCAAAGACATTCCTTATAGATGCTTTGAGTAGCCTAACGATAGGTACCCGACCTGCGTTCTTGCCAATGTCGAAACTCCAAATATTTTGACTGTTCGACGAACTTCAGCGGTTGAATGCGTGTTGGAGTTTTCTATTCGAAGGCAGGAGAGACTTGAAGTGTTGTAGTCCTCGTCCGTATAATGTACTTCTCAGCTCTTGATTCTAGAAGCTGGGAAGCGAAGCGACTGCACTCTCATAGAATCTACACCACTAGTAAGAGCTGACTCGCAAGAATGAGATCTCGAGTACAATGTTGTACTGTTGGTCCTATTCAGATACTTGCTGAGGCATTTGCCCATAGCCCAAGCACAAAGAGGTTGTGGTCGACGTTTGAGCTGATGCGAGGCTCCAAAGCCACGCATTGGAGGTTGGAGCTCGCCACAGCCTCCCAGGACTGTTCGAGCAATTTCCTTTGATCTAGAAACAGATCGAAAAAGAACCTACGCAATTAAAGCCAAGAGCAACGCGAAAGCGTCGTACAGTTGATTGGAAAAGGAGATAAACTAAAGCAAAAAGGTGATAGAGTAACCTGGCTTCTTGCCCACGAACGGAGCACGCTTTTAGATCTTCAGTGGTGTAATCCACCGTGATCAAGCTGTAGCATATCTCTACAAGGGACTAATATCACTCGAGTTCCATTCACCTGCACTATTTGCAATTTGTAGTTTTTGTTAATATGCAAAGCTCGAAATTTCAGAGCTTCTTCGTGCGCAGCACGACTTTGTTCTATATATTTTGACTTTGAGGAAGGATGCTCAATTGGAATATAATCTCTTTCTTGACGCTGAACGAACAAATACATACATGGTTTGATACAAAATTGCATTTGCACTTGCATAAATCATGGTTCGTTACGCTGTACAAAATGGCTGCTAGTTTTTTTTTACTATGTTTTCAGCCAGCTGAATGACCAACTGAAGTCCGCACCTGCCCAAGTTAAAATACAGACAATGTTAGAGCAAAAATGCAAATACATCACTATTTTGCCACGCATTTACCGTTATGCTCAAGCGAATTCTGCACAGTGTAAAAAATCCACAGAAAGAGATTCGCTTGCACCATTCTCCAGCTCCGATCTAGTACAAACGAGAGCAGTTGCAGCATAGAAACACCAATCTTGCGTTGGATAATAAAACCAAACACCAAAAGTGACAGCAACTCGATCATGCCAAACTTAACAACAGTCCCAAGCTTGCTGCCTAGACCAGCATCGTCTAGGTCTGCAACTTGTGAGTAATAGGCACGATTAGGAAGCTGATACATCGCAATTGTGTACATGCCTGCATCAACATAAGAACGTGATAATGGTATGATAAAAAAAAATAACGACTGAGCACTTACAGAAGATGAACGGCACGATGACTTCTGTGTACTCGACGAGAATCACGAACTCCGTTGTAAAGAGAACTTGAGCAGTCCTCTGCACGAACAGCCGACGCTCTTTTGCAGAGAAAACATCTTTCACAGTGCCATTCCGTCGAGTTGTTTCATCTTGATGAAGAGGTGTAAACGGTTCCGCTGCAGCAACAACGAGTGGTGCGCCCGCTGCTGCTACTGGTATCACACGTCTGCTTTGCATTGCAGGTACATCACTTGAAGCACCGACAGAACTAGCACTATCAACACTGCCTTCATCCTGGTACTTTAAAATTGTGAGCGCGGAGTTGTAGCGATGTCGTGAAAGGTGAGCTTTCGCTTCCGAGTCTTCCTTAATTATCTGCTGCGCAATCTCAATGAAGCTCACCAATTCCAACGGATGTCCAGCAGGTATTTTGCGTTGAAGCCGACGGATATACTTCATTAGATGTCCGATGTCCGATGTCTGAGATCGAGACCCAAGCTTGAACAACGTCTAGTCCAATCATCGACAACATCATGCTAATGGAGCTGGAATTCTGCATCGAGCTGGATACGTAAAGTGCGTTGAAGACATCCACATTGAAGATCATAATCTGCGGCATCAGATCGTATTTGGTTCCTAAAAAGTGACCGATCCAATTTTTCGCTATGATCTTGATAATAGGCAATAACACAAGATAAAACTTTTGGTTTGATGGTTGCACTTGGATGAAGCCGTACAGGTACGCTGGATACACAAATGTGAGCAAAACTTGGCATACGAGAACAACGATGCTGCTTTTCAACTCTTTAAAAACTGCCGGTTCTCGTCTCAAAACTCTCCCAAAACAGCACACGAAGCTTACTAGAACCACCACGAACCATACTGGAATTCCAACCACAAGTGCGAATGGTAAGGGGAAGCCGATGATGCTTGACATAGCCATCATGAATAAAACAGCGCCGCCGCCTGCGATAATCGGCATCATAATGACTTGAGTTGCGTTAATGTGTAGATCTGGAATACTAACTCGGAACTGCTCCAAGATGGCTGCAGTCATGAGAGCAATCGAAAGACAATCTCGAGCCCAAAACATGTAATTAGCTTTCGAACCGTCTTCAGGTGGGACCAATGGCGCGTAGTCGATTGCAGTGACAACAAGCAGACAAGGAAATGGCGACACAACACAAATGAGGAAGGCCCAGAGCGCAGAAGTCCTGCGGCAGTACTCATCAAAGTTGCTGATTCGATCTGCAGAATAATGTCCACGTAGTTCCACCTGGAAACTCTCGCAAAATTTGTACGCTCGACGCCAAAGACGATGATAGCCCACCATCTTGTTAAAAATGAGCAGTACGAGCCTGTCTGAGTGTCGTCAGCAGCTAAATTTATTGAGCCAAACATAACATGAATCTCCTTCCTCATATTCTAGTAAGAAACGTATGCCCAAGTAGTGTTGTCAACTCATTTCGTATCTCGATAAGAAAACTGCTGAACTGGTTCCATTGAACTTTTGAATCCCTTGATTGGATCGCAGCATCTCGACATAAGCACGAGCCACGGCTGGCGAGGTGGCGTTGTTCCTCAGATCTAGTTTCTGCAAGGTTTTATGGTTTTGGATGGCGTGTGCGAGTTTACAGAGCCCCTTCTCCTGTAGTTTGGGCTTTGCTTGGGACCCCTCGATCACTGAATGTAGCGAAAACGATAGCAACGTGGTGTTTTCTGCTAGTGCGTCGGCTAATTCGAAGGCACCTTCATCTCCAATATCGTTGAAGCTTAGATCGAGATGTTCGAGGTGTGGATAAGTACGCAGTAGAGTTGCAGTAACGTGAGCTCCCTCGTCTCCAAGTCCGTTTCGCGAGAGATCGAGGATCCGGCACTTCGAACTTGGCCTTGCTGTGAGCTCCTCAACAATAGCAGCCGCACCGTACTGGCGCAATGATCTCCCACTCAGATCAAGCTTTTCTTGATCAGCAAACTCTTTAGTGAAGCGTTTACGGAGATCATGTGCTTGTGAAATAGCTGCCAGCATCGTCTTGCATTCGGAGGTAAGCGGGTTCCCAACGCTCAGGCGAATTCGCCGTTGCTGGTTTGCCCTAAATGCCTTCAGATACAGTTGTTTAGCGCCAGCATCAGTGATCTGGTTGTGGTCGAGAAGTAATTCCTGAAGGTTGGCGTTCGGCTCCAGACCCTCTGCTAGACCAACGATCGCTTTATCTGAGCAGTTCCCAAGCATTCGTGTTAATTCTCCTCTTCACAACTTAAAATTCACGCTGTTTACTGTACCTGTGATGAAGTTGTTGGTCAAGTTGAGCACCTTGAGTGGTGGTTGCAACGCTAGGAGCAAACCAACATCATAAGCACCTTTCTCGCCGATCTCGTTTCCACTTAAATCTAGTTGTTCCAGATGCTGCCAGTTCGGCGACATTCGAAGTGTTTGCGTCAATATATGGACATATCGATCGGTTAGACAGCATTCCAACAGGATATCGCACTTGACCTTGGTCCCATTAAAGTTGAGGGTTGATGCGCTCGGGATACCAGCCGTAAGTTGAGTTTCAATAATTTTCTCGTGCAGCTTCGTGTGAACGCGCTGCAGTAATGCATCAGATGTGCACAGGTTTCCTCCAAGGTGGAGATAGCGTAGCGGAAAAGGAGCTGCCATCCCATTAATCGCGTGGAAGAATGAAGTGATTCCAGCTTGATCAATCTACGGAAAGTACCGTGTAAGTACATCGTTGATAACTTAGACTTGTTTGTACGTTACCATACCTGGTTAGCTTCGAGGTCGAGGGTCTGAAGGGCTGGCGTATGATCTAACACGAACGCTAAACTGGCGGCACCACAGTCTCCAATGAAATTACCTGCTAACGACAGAACCTCCAGTTTCATCCGTGGTAACACTTTTCCTAATGTCGTGGCCGCTTCATCAGTTAAGGCATTTGAGCGGAGGTATAGTTTGATAATAAACTTGGAGAAATCGGCTTGAGCTAGCTGCGAAAAGGTCGAGTCTGTGAAACCCGTGCAAGACATGTCTAGTATTTGTAAGTTCTCCCGGTCTTTCTCGTCTAGCGCTCGAATGAGAGGATGAATCCAGTCGGATGAGGAATTCTGGTCACTTAGCGATAGATCGAGCTCTATGAGACTAGGACATCGTGCAATAAATGTGGCAATAGCTTCAAGCCCTCGCACTGAAAAGCTGCAGAGACATAATAGATCAGTCATTTGTTCAGAATTAAATTAAAATTTTAAAACGTACTGATTATTGACCAGATTCAATGTTGTCAATGCTGGCAACGCTATTTCTCGTTGCACCCAGAAGTCATCGCTTAAATCGTTGAATGAGAGATCGAGCACAGCCAGGGACGTTGACACGACTGGAAATGAGATTAGTGAGAAGATCTCCAGTCCAGATTCGCTGGTAAGTTGTTGCTCAGATAGTATGATCCGTTTAGGGACTTGCACGCCAGGCACCTCGGACACCCGACGAGCGGTCCGTGGCTGCATTAAGACTCTTGCAGCATCTTGTAGCTGACAGAAACTTGCGAGTTGTGCTCCAGTGACAGACATGGGTTTGCTTTTTTTTTTTAAGGAAAAGCACTCGACTGTAATGAAGCGTCGCTACGATCAAGAAGACTCGGTATCGTTAGCTGGTCAGCTGACTGGTTATGTTTATCGCAACCGTGGAAATGAAAACGTAATTTTTGCCCCTGTAAATGATATGGCAAGGAGATCAATTCTCTCAGCCTAAAGGACTGAGAGCATAGACGTCAAAGGCGTTTCTAAAGGCGTTTCTAAGCGCTGTAGTTCAATTCGTAGACTTGCAGTTGGAATGTCGAGATTGCGCTCCCCAGTTTTGGAGTCCGTAATCATGTTTGACTTGGTGTTTGTAAGCCGTCCCCGCATGGGACGCCCCTTCAGATTTCCGAATGCGCTTGATATTTAGATAAGTTCCTCCCGATATTTTCACTATGTGTACCCATCTACTTCCCCGGAAAAACACGGTACTTTACTGGTTAAAGTTCATCCAATGCCGTTGCTTCTGTGGCAAGCCCGTTAGAAATCAACTTATTTGAGAAGCGACTGTTCAATTATAGGTATCTGAACGGTCGCCAGGCAAGGGCGATTTCCTCCCGGTCAAGTTAAGTTTCGGCTCCGTTTTGGCCAATAGGATACAACACTAAATATGGTAGGGGCGAGTTACTTGGTATTTGTATGGCCGGCCCGGCCTGGTAGGGTGGCACACACCGGTGCCTAAGAAACGGTACACTCAGATAGAAAAGCCTCTGTTAGATGACGATGCCGCTGTCAGATCTGACGGCGCGGCTGTCAGCAGCGATTCTATTAATGCTACACGGCGCTGGTATCAGCATGATGGAGAGCAGTAGGAAGGGGCATTGGTGGTGCGACTCAGGGTGCAGTGAGCACGGATGGAGAGCAGCAAAGGGCATTGTTGGTGCGGCTCAGGGTGCAGTGAACACGGGTGTTGTGACGTTCGGGTATCAGCACGGTATCTGCACGATGTACTTTCGAATGTGCGATGCAGGGGTTGAAATGTGATGGTGCTGGTACTCTGTTGGTGTGGTTCGGTGGCTTGAAGCAGTGAATATATGGTGTTGATGGAGAGATGCTGTGGAATATGTAGACGCTTTTTTATTCGTACTGGGATTACTTTACTTTACTACGTGGTGATAACGTGAGCGGAGCACTGGCACCGGAAGAATTGTCTGTTTCGCCGACTGTAAGAGAAAGTCAGCTCTTGTAGTGGAGGGATTTCTTTGGTTGCGAATATGCCGAGTCTAGTGCTGTTCGTCCAATCAAACTCGTACATTACGCAGTTCGGTTTACAGGAGTGATTTATAAACCGACTCTCGTTGCCACATGTGAGCGCGTCGACGTACACCTTCGAGTGCTCTCCCCACTCTGCTTCTGTTCGGAACCTCGCCTGGTATCTGCGGTCGTTACGCCTTGCGGCATCTTCAGCGTAGAGTATTTCACCTACATACTCAACGACGAATGCCCCTTGAGGAATGATGTTGGGCGATACCACGCCCAAACCGACTCGAGTCTGAATGAGGTCCAGTTCAAACCGCTGCTCAAACCGGTTTCCACATCGAGGGCCGAGTAAGCAGTTTGAGTCGTCACAAACTGTTGCCGAGTTTACGTTAATGCACGAGCTAGTGAGGTGAGTGCCTGTGCTGGAGATACAGCATAGCTCGCACTCACATTTTTGGTCGGTGTAATCTGATGATACTGTGACTGGGTACGGTTTTGAAGCGGAGAAGATGCTGTGGTCGATGTGTGCAATATTGCGAGGCCAGGCGTGTGGGATGACAACTTCATAGTCACTTCCAACGAATGGTAGCTCGGTCTGAGTGTGATTTGGCAGAAGGGTGGAGGCGGCTGTACCATCGTGGGGGTTGAGAGGTTGTTGCTGGGGTTGTGAAGCTTGGTACAGGTTGAACCACGCAAGTTGAGCAGTAGAATTTAGTGCTGTGCCAGGCAACGGAGGGACCGTTCGCTGAGAAGCTGGCCCATTTTCGACATGAGCGTGGATCATTGTGTGTAGGAATGAACGGGAGTACAGTCTATTGAAGTGAAGAATGCAAGTGCGTTTTGAGGGGATGGCGGTGGAATTATCGTCGTTCCGTTGGAGATGCTGGTATTGACAGTAACTTCAGCGGGCCTTAAGGCAGTTGAGGATGCGTGATCGGATGAGGTTCTTCCTATTGTGTAGTAACGAAAGTAACGTTAGATAACTCACAAGCCTGGAAACATTTGACGTCATTTTCGGTTTCTAGTTATGGCGTCGACACTGGATATCCTTCGAGCGGAGAGAGCGGCACAAGACGCTGAGGAAGCGCGTCCGCCTTTCGTTAGCGTGAACGATGTCAGAGCTTTTATTGCAACTGGGAGCCCTGCACCGAGTGATAACATCACGCTTGAAATGTGCTGGCTGGGGGCTACAGAATTCAATCGTGGATGGCACGTCGAGTTGTTGAATCGGGCCGACGAAGAAGTGTTCGAAGTGGTGGAGGAAGGGCTTGGGAATATTGATCCTGCACGACGTAGTAAATGCATCTTTGCATTGACGATTTGGAAAAGCCGTGATGATTCTCTAAACGAGTACTGCCGATGCACATTACCCCCAACTGCTCCAAGACGCCAACATTAATGACCATGCGGACGACAACAGTGTTCATGAAATCCAAGTCGAACCAGATCAGCAAGTACTCAGACTAGAAGACGTGCGAGAGGCGTGCAGAGCATTAAAGCTAAAGCTTGCGCGAGAAAAAAGGTCACCGCCAGTACGGACGTAGACTTAGTTGTGAGCCCTTCCGACTTTCACCATCGCAGAAAAACATGATGGCAACGTCGTACAAAGCTGCCCGATGCGCTGGGACTACCGTCGACTACAACAGAATGGCTGAAAGCCTCCATTTCGGTACTTTCAAAGGTCACGCCGAACAGCTACAAGCTCTCGAAAAAAAACTAGTCGATGAAATGGTAGCAGCTTTGAAGGAGCAACGCTACCTTGAAGCTTCCAAGGGTGACGACACAACAAAACATGTACACTACGACTTACTAAACGATGCTGATACTGCGTTACAGGGCTCAAACCAGTTACTTGCACCGATGAACCAGATAATGGGTTCAAGCAGCAAACGTGGTGAGCTCCACGATCCATTAGTGGCAAGTACCGGATCGGATAAGGTTACAGATAAACCGGCACAAGCATCTGACCTTCTCACTCATATACAACAACAACATGAAGCCGAGACCACGATTCAAGAGCTCCGCTGCCATCTACTCGAAAGTAGACGTACTATCGACACCCTACGCTCTCAGCTTGCCTCTCACAATTCCACTCGCACTGGAATCCTAAAACCCAAAACAACGCGGCACTCTGACCAAGATTATCTAACGTCGACTCAAGTGATGCAGTGCTGTGAAAACGCGTTCCGGGCAGCGCTAAAGGTATTCGAATCTTATAATGACAACATTTAGATCCCAGGTCGTTAAAAAAAACACACACCACATCTAATTCGTCTATTCTATAATCTCAAGTATAAACCTTTTAAGGAGACCTGCAGTCTTGCAAATAATATGAAGTAGGCTGAGAGAATTCGTGCAACGAAGAGCCTCGCAAGAGGCTCGCGGGTCGCTACTGTGTATGAACAATATCGTCCTCGGCAGGTCTGCGATATTAACATGTTGAATTAATATAAGTCCGAATTCTGCCAAAATAAATCATTCAGTTAGTTATTAATGCGTATATTTGGAATTAATTTCCTTTACTGCATACAAGATCCACCTAGTACAGCCTTTTGTCCATCAATATAATTTACATGTTAAGCGATATTGGAACCAATAAAATGACCAAAAATTAATAATTAAATTTAAAATCCATATATAATATTTCAGTAATTTAATTTTGAGCACTGCGTAGCTTGAAATGTAGATATGAACTTGCTGGTGCGTCGTTTCAATTTTTGTGTGCTGCCCGTTGCAGTTTTGCTAAGTTATCTTGAGATGAGAAGTCAGTAAGTTTACGCAAGGTGACAGCATCTATGAGCCAGAGACTATGACTGAGCAACTATCAGACAGGACGCATTTAGACGAGTACCAAGTTGAAACTCTTCTCGTTGAAAAAATAGCTCGACAATTGTGTTTCCACTACTAGTGAAACCCTCAATATTTCCCACGCATCGACCGAAGAAAGACGATGCGCCGTATACAGCGCTTGTGCAGTGGCATCTATGACGTGTGGATGAATCTTCAAGTGGAGCTCCATGGTAGCTACTCGATCTCTCGAATGAGATTCTTGTCCGAATACTCAAGCTCCACTTCCGTTTTCCGTGCCAGTGTGTTTGTGATCATAGCCCCCTTCCCGTGCCTCATTATATTGACGATGATAGATTGTGTTCCTCTAGCTCCAACCGAGGACGGATCACGAGCGAATTATTTGTTCTGGGGGAGAAATTATTTGACGATCTCGCTCATGACTCGTGCGATTCTCGAGCAGCTCCATCTCACTGTACCAAGCTTAGATTTCACCTTCATTCGAACAGTGTGCATCTCCGCTCTCCCAAGTGCCGGGGCTGTTGCATTTATGCTTGCCATGACAAGTTTGATTGGGTTCCCCTTACCATTCACGCTTGTAATTGGGATTCCAGTGTGGTTTGTTGGTCTCGTGATCTGTTTTGGTATATTTTTCGGGTCAAAACTGAGGAGAGAATCGGAAGTTCGCACGGAGTTGCTAAACTACATTGTGGTAATTGCATGTCAAGTGGTATTAACTTTCATCTACCCTGCGTATCTCTACGGTTTTCGATCCGTGAGTTCGACTGTACAGACATTTTACGTGTTGCTGCTTCCTATTATCAAAATTGCGACGAAAAACTGGATCAGCTTTTTTCTGGGTACGAAAGACGACCTAAAGCCACAAGTTGTGATTCTCAATATTGAGGTTTTCAACGCACTGTACGTGGCTAGTTCCATGCAGAACGCAACCTCGATCAGTACAACGATGGCTCTCACGTTCGTCGATTTTGCGCTCGCATGGATATCGATTAAGGATGTCAATTTTTTCTTAGCAGACATCACGGCACTGCTGATGAAAATCCCGTCAGATCACCCGTTAAAGACGGCAAATTTCATGGAGATAGCGTTGAAAATGCTAGACGAGGACGTCCAGTTGAGAGCAGATTCAGCACTGCGTTTATTCTCAGTTCGTATACCAGCTTCTAGTAGCCGGCCCGTAAGAGTTCGAAGTCTGGATCCAGCAGTTGAGACGAACTTCCCATCCCGTCATAATCTTTTCCCTACTGCGTCGATATTACCGAAGTTACCATCAATTCCCTTTCTGACTGGTGCAACCGTTATGCCAGCTAGGAAGGAAACATACAAACCCTTCCGAGAGCTCTTCACCACGAAGCAACGAATGGACTATGTGCACAGAACTGCACAGGTATTGTTCACGACCGAATTTATTATCCTCATCGAGTTCACGGAAGTTATTATTCCGTTCATTTACAGTAAGTTGCTTCCTATTGCTCCATCTGCGAAACTAACGTACTGTTACTTGTCCTTAGGCACTTATACGATAGCAATGTTCCAGCTTCCGAACCGAGTCTTCTACCCGCAAATTCGTGCGCTGAATCGCACTACACTCGGCCAAATGATTGGGAATATCGCCGTCTATGGGCTTATGGAACTCTTATCTTTCATCGCAATGAGTGTGATACTGAGAAGGAAGCTTGGCATTTCGACTCTACACCAACTCGCTTTCGTGCTCGACCGCGAGCGACGAATGGTGCAGTCGAACTTGTTTCTCTGGATTTGTTACACGATCCAGAATTCGCTCGACCACAACGGTACGAGGGTTTCTTAGTCATTTTAAGCTCGTCTGACCCAGCTTTATGTGTTTGGTTATACCTTGAAGGCGCGGATTTTAGCTGGAAATTCAGCTGGTTGAAGAAAAGCAACTGAAGCGTGATACACGTCCACAATTTTGAATGGAAAAAATAATAACTATCATATAATATTATCCAGCACATCGTCCAGATTTTTTATCTGGACGATGTGCTGGATTTAGGCTTCAACGATCTTCTCGGTTGTATGAAGTGAAGAAGCTGATGACATTAACTCTTGAGAGCGAGGAGACATGAACCGTGGACCAGCAGGAGATGAATGTGGCCTTACCGGTCGCTGTTGCACAAAATTGGTCACTGAGGTCGCACTTCCTTCGGATTCTTTACTACTCCAAGTGTGAGCTGAGTCAGGGAATGGCATAGATCCTCGGAGCGCGCAAATGGATGAATGAACTAAGTTGAATGGACGTGGCCCCGCAGATTTAGTGAGTCGTTGCTGCGACGATCATAGGACACGAAAACAGTCATTAGCTAGAAATGAAGTCACCACTAATCAAAACTTACTGGCAGTTGATATCCTTCTTCTCCCCTCGAATTTTGAGGAGATTTTCCGCCAGTGTAATCGGACCGATTGCTTCGTTCTTGATCCAAGGAAGGACTGGCTAAAGCTGGAAAGGTTGACGTCGGGATCTGTTGAGTTTGTGGAATATGGTTCATATGAACTTTCGCGTACGGATACAGGGGACGATTGCTAGTTGGACTTCTCCTAGGAGAACCACCCTGAATTGGGTACAGGAACTCGTTAAGTTCAATTCTTGACTTTCCCTTTCCGCTCAAATTATCAAGAAGCATGGATACACCATGAAGCAACTACAATCACAGCAACATAATAAGTTCAAAAAGCAATAGTTTGCATGTGAAAGGTAACGTATGAGTCGTACATGTGCTTGGGCCTTTTTAAGGTCGTTTCGCGCGATAGATTGGGTTGATATGGCACCATCCAAAGCACCCTTGCGCTGCTGAACGATCCTTGTCATGGCATCACACATAGTATTTATCTTGTAGTTGGTCAAACGGAAAGTTCCATCGGGTTGAATCTTCGATCGTCTATCGGCTCTGCGTTTTATCTGGAGAGATATTAACGTTTAGCACAGTACTGGAAGGTAGCAATATAAACCACATACCTGATCGAGTCGCTTCTCGCTGGACAGACAAATTACTCGGAACACCAAAACTTGCCAGTTTCTAACGGCGTATTGTCCTTTAGCTACTGAACTTTGGTTGATCAGCACTCGAAGCTGTTGAATCACCTCAGGGTCACGCTCGATATCAGCGTCACTGTTCAATAATGACGATTCTTCCACACTGAGAGCCGAAATTGCCTCATCGTCAGATGCAGACACGTCTTGATCTTCGAAAGATGTACAATTAGTAGTGCGCAAGTCGGCAGAATGCGTGCTTGTACCAGCGTTATTATCAGCCCCAGATTCAACATTTTCTTCCACTACACAGTCGATTTCGGGCATTTCAGGTGTCTGTGCAAGACCTCGTTTTGTCGGTAGAGTATCACCACCTTCAAAAACCTCATGTACCAGCTTTTTCCTTTGCAAAGCACTCTCAAGCGTGGTTTCGTTCCCACAGGTATCATTGCTGACAGCCACGTCAGTATTTGTTTCAGTTGTGGATTTTTGAATCTGTTGCGGCGGGTTTACTTTCGGCTTATTCTCGACAGCTTCAGTTGTTTTCAATTGGCGACTAGACTTCGAGCCCTTCGTACTAGTAAAGTTTTTCCTTGGTGAACCTTGTGTACTTCGGGTCGATAGTGGCGATCCTCCTTCTTTAACTATAGTTTGATTGCTCGGTTTTGCGTCCTTCGATTCCGACTTCGCGTTGGCAATCGTTGTACGTCTAGACCGTGGACTGAGCACGTTACCGAGATGCGCAGCGACCAATTCTCGTGCGAGTTGCTGCTTTGTTCCAGTCATTCCAGCGTAAATATTCTCTAAATCCAATAACGCATTGCTGACATGTTTTCGTTCTGCTTCTGTTAGCGTTGACGGAGCAGGCACCTCAACCTCTGGGTCAGTCTGGATAAGTTGTGCTTGGTTCAAAAGCTCATTCGAAATCAGCATCAGTCTCTTCTTGTGCTTTTCACAGATTGAACAACCCCCAGCCGTGTTGAATTCGACTGATTCCGCTTGATTGCGTGCTTCTTGTAATTGTTTCTGATAAATTTGTTGTTCCGCTTCTAGCGCTTTGTTGGTATTCTGGAGCTTTTCACATTCCAGTTTCCAGAATTCCACCTCAGCTAGATTTCGTTTCCGCAGCGTGCAAAGCTCCTCCGACATGTGACCTAAATGCGTTGTTAGTGTTAACAGCCGATCGGTCTGAAGCGCTGACGAGCGTTGCGATGCTCGACGCTGCTTCATAATATCCGCTTGAGCGGTGGAAAGTGCCTTGAACAAGTCGCGAGGATGTGACGCCATGCTGACGACCAGACTGCCTTGAGAAATACTGTTGGTCCGACTTCGTTTCTCGTCTTCCTCTGCGATCTCTGCCTCAGCCTTTTTCAGTAATTCTTGCTGGGTCTCATGCTCCTTCTTTACACGAATTATATCTTTCGCGTAGCGTTCAACCAGGGCTTCCATTCTCTTAACCTCATTCTGATCAGTAACTTGTTCACTTGTAGTCGACTCCACTTTCGAATTATCACCTATATCATCTTCATTATCGTCTTCTTCGTGCTTGGACTCGTCCATTGGAGGAAGAAGGTTAACCTCCTTTACGGGCGATTTCACGGCGAATTTTTTCATCAGGAGCTTCACAGCTGCTTGTCGCTCTTCGATCTTGGTATTGCCAGTCTTCAGTGAGAAAGCCAACGAGGTTTTCAGCATCGCCAGCTCTTGAGCGTGTGCATCTTTCTCCTTCTGTAGAGCGCGTTGTAAAGTCACCATTCTTTCCTGCGCTACTTCCAACGCTTTCCTGCTTTCAGTCAGACCTTCATCCTTAACCGCAAGGGTGCTCTTTAACTCGACAATCAAGTTATCGTATTGTACATTTCGTCGATGTTGACGCGACGCTATGCCGGGTCTAATGGTTGGATTGCCCTGGCCGTAAGCTGAGCTCATGATCTCATCCACATCAATACCCTCCTCTTCATCCAAGTCAGTCTGAAGACAACTATCCACTGCACTTGACTTGATAAGCTCTGCTTGTTGAATCTTCTCCTGCAACTCTGCAGCGTGCATAGTCGATAACTGAAGTTGTCCCTCAAGTGCCAGTGTGGTGGTGTTCGCTTTCTCTAGTTGGGTCTTCAGCTCCAAAACCTGCTCGAGTGTTTTACGAAGATACGAATCTGCATCATTCGCGCCATCATCTCGATCCGTGTGGATATACCCGACCCCGCTGCATGCTCTACAAGGAATTAAACGGCCGAGCTCTGATGACTGTCTTCTGCCAAGTTGATGAACGCCTGGGTCCTCGTCTTTCTCCAGATTATTCTCTTGTTCAATAGAAGCAGTCTGTGTATTGCTATCAAGATTCGTTAGCATCGCCTCAAGGCCTCTTGCACTACGTCGATTGCCGCGACGAGCACTTTTCTCCACTGCCGCCCATAGAATATCGTTGTTCAGAAGTTCAACGAGTGAATCACCAATCTCTTCCCAATTGCCTTGATACGAACGCACCGCGTCTGCGATTCGCCTTCGCTCTGCAATGGCATTCTCGGGTTTTAAGAACCAGGGCGTGGATTCATTAGCTCGATATCTAGTGTTCTCTTGTGTCAAAGAAGCAACTCTATCTCGCAGTTGTTGACACTCGAGCGCAGCCTCTCGGGCACGTTGTTCCCATTTCTCCTTCTCGCGATGTAAGACCTGCGTGTTTGCATTGGCTGACCAACCACGTCCAGAATTTCTGGATTGATCCAGTTCGTTAGTCTGCGCGGTGTCCGATGCTGGTGTCTGCTTACCGACTAAAACTGTAGCAATAGCCTCGTTCAGAGCTGATAACGCACCCGGTTCTGTCCCTTGTTTGCTCATGATATCTCGTAACATAAGCAATTGTCTGTACTGCTCCTTGCGTAGAGCGTTGTTTTCGGCTACTCGCCGATCGACTTTACCTTTCAAATGGGCCACCTGCTTCTCCCATTCCATTATTTGATGTGTGAGTTGAGTTATGCGTTGCTGCTGGTTTTGAATGACTACTTGTTGAGTCTGCATTTCCTGTTGAACGCACTCGTGGATGGTATTAACAAAAGTCGTCTCGCGTTCCTGTATTAACGAAGCCAGCACAGTATCGAAGAATACACGCAGTTGGTCATCGATGGACTCTGACGCCTCATCTTCACGAATCTTGCGCTCGAGTTCATATTGATGCGTCTCGGTGTCATGACCAAAAACAATCAGTAACGACTCCTGCAGTGCTGGTGAACGAATGAGCTGGCAAAGATCGGCAAACGCTCTAGCGAATGGCATGTCTGTATTCTCATCATTGCCTAGAACGAGGCGAGGCGTCACAAAACGCGTCTTCCCAGCCGAAACCAGACCCAATTCCGTTTGCGTTTGCTTCTCCTCTTTGGACGAGAGCTCGCCGGACTCCCAGTTCATGTAAGCACGACGTCCACCAGCTCGGAATTTTCCGTGCGGATGTTGAAGTCGCCCTCCCACTTGCATGATAGTTGACGCCGATCGAAGTAAATAAAGGGTAAATATGACATGTCGTAGCGATCATGCCGCCTCTTAGCCCAGCGGTACAAAAATAAATGCTGCGTAGTCAACGACCGCGTGTCAAATGTTGCCGACATCGTTTCAAGTTCTGGTGTTCTCTATTGCGCGATTTTGGTGGACCGACCACGATGATATCCGTCCACGTCCTCTTCGAACTCGAGGGACTAATTTGCCTGTCATACAAGTATCCTGTCATCAGCATAAAAGTCAACAATAACCACCGATTCGGTCGGCGAAAGCAAAGCATATTGTTGACTTGTTAGGCAGGTACCATGCGTGGGTTGGTCTTTTTTGCTGGTCTAGCGTTCAGCAAAGCAACTTGCCCCGGGCAGCGTGCTGGTGCCTGCAGAGCGCATTCCGCGAGTTTATTGGATCCGGCTCGATTTTAGGATGTCCAGTCATGATTTATGGACCTTCTTAGATACACTTATTTTAGAAATTGAAAAGAGAATTACAAGAAGCATTACAGAATCTAGCGTACTTATTGTTTATCTTTCTACACAGGTCGACTTTCGCGCTATCTATCGCTGTTGCATTCGTTACTTAGCTCCAACCTGGATAGGTGTTGTTGCCAACTTAACTACGGTAGAGTAATGCGCTCGATCCGCCTGTAGCAATTTCTTGGCGGGCGCAGCAACTATCTTCGCATCCGCTTTGCTCTGATTGCTGGAAGACAATTCGCCCTCACCTTTGTGGCTCTCTAAATTTGTTCCAGGTTCCTGCTCCGGCGTGGGTTGAGGCTCGTCCGAGGTAGACTGCTGCGCTTGCCACCATTCTGCGGTCTCATCCAACAGTGGGAAGAAATATGGCACATGAATCTTCTTGACAGGAACTTCAGTAGGTTTCCTCTTCTTACGAAGAGGTAGCGACACTGTCAACGGCATGGAGCGCGACCCTTTCCGGGCCAAGCGCTTCATCTTGGGCTGTTTCTTCTGTTCAGCGGCGCTGCCGTGCCATGGCGAGCGTAGTAGGCCGGTAAACTTGGGCAGAAGCGAGTCCTTCTCGTCATGATCGGCCACGACGTTTATGCTAAGCCCTCCAGACGTTTCGTCGTCGCTGCTGTCGGTTTCTGTGGTGGTGGGAGATCGCTGGCGGGCATGAATAATTAACGCGACGATGGCGGTGACTACGACGCCGAGTGTGGCAAAGACGAGTAGCTCCATCTTTCTGCCCTGGTGGAAGGGAGGGGACGGCGTCACAGCCGGCAGCGGGCTCTGCCACCCTTATGTGGTCCTAGCGGATAATAATGGCTGACGTTGTCTCTGATTGGTAAAAACAAATTATGTTGCATTCTGTGCGGTACACCAAGAATACGGGGATGAAGCTTGTTGACGGCGTGCGCGCTTTCCCGCTGACTCACATGCAGCTCGCTGGAACTTCCTGTTTGGAAGTCGCAGTGCGACCGACGGACGGACAAGGGTGTGACCACGACGGCACGAGCGTCGCGGAGTACGGCGCATGCTGCGTCGCAATGGCGAAGCCAGTCACGCTTACATCGCGATTGGTCCTGGTGAGAATCCCGCTCTCTGAATGACCTCCTGTGGCTGAGAGGGCTTGAGCACAAAGGTGGCAAACAAAGATCGGTGCCTGCGCCTTGATAGATCGCGCCGATCGCGGGATGGCTCCCGAATTCACCCCGATCGTCTCGGTCCTTGACGCATGGGTAATCGACGCGCTTCAGACCGATGTCCGGTGTCCGAGGTTGCATTGAAGTTGAGCGGTGTACGTCAGTGGACCATTGCGCAAACTTGGTCAAAGCGGGGCCGGTCGGCTAGGCTCTTGCCACACTCAAATCTTTCGGACGCTCGCCGTCTATGCTGCGATACCGACGACTCTGATTGCAGAGCTCGAGTCGCTTCCTCGTCAGTATCCTGGCCGCCGCGACAAACCGCTGGAGCATGATCCGATTGATGCAGATTACGAGCGCATTCAGCTGATTATGGCAGCGTCCAGCAATGCATGTCGCCGAGCATCGCAGATCCCGTGTGAGGATCTTCAGCGGACAAGAATCGCTGCTGGAGCTGGTTTAGCGAGGTTTGGGTGCACCGGTGTCTGTTGCTCCAACACCGGTAAACTGCTGCTAGTCTTGTTAAGTTAACGCTCGAAGGATGCGCTGCCGATATTGGCAAACCCAGTGGGAGCTCGACTTGAGTCAGCGAGGTCAACTCGATAAAAAGCACGAACGGAGTTGTAGTTTGTTGGTACAGTGTCGTGTTGGCATTCATTCTGCTTATTACTTCTACTTGTACTTGCACAGGACTTCTCTTTTTATAGTAGATGAGCGCTACATATCATAATAAAACTATCGGGGGAGGAGCCTAGAGCTCGAGATCGAACATGAGATCGCTGATCGCAGAGGCATCTGTAGCCTCGGCGACGACAGGAGAGGTGGCGGACCGGCGCTCGACGCTCTGGTGATTACAGCACGGGCACTGGTCGCAGTCGTCTTCCTCGTCGTCTTCGTCCCAGAGCCACCTCTTGGTAGATGTAGCAACGTACTTGCGCGTCTGGGTGGGGATCAGCATCGGCGTAGTGCGCGAGACAGCAGGACGCGTCGCCTGGTGGTAAACCTGCTTGTGTGCGCGCTTCTCTTTCTGCAGACGGATGAAGCTGGCCATGAGCTGCTGATCTTCGCGGCTCAGTGTGTCGCTACCGCGCTCCGAGTCGCAGTCGGTTTCCTCGCCTGATAGATACAACGGGTCTTCGTCGTCGAAAGCGGCGGAGGCACCAGGCTTTGTCACACTGGGCAGTGCCGGAATGGAAGCCCACGTGGGCAAGCTCTGGGTCTGAGCGGGGGCCATGCTTGGCTTGGATCGCTGGATGCTAGTCAATGGAAGTACTTGCCGCAGCTTCGACAATTGCAGACTGAGGGCAACGCCCGCTCCGGTGCAAATAGGTAGCAGCAGTTGCCTCCGGAGAGTGTGGGTCGGTTGCAGTCGATACTGTCGTTGCTGACAGCGCCAGGCGGCGAAAGCGGGCTTGGCCAGCTGGCGGTGGCTAGATGCACGAGCCTTCAACAGGCTCCGCAATTGGTCCAAAGATCGTGGCAGGCGCAGTCTCCGTTGCGCGATTGGCTGAAAATGGGAATCTCGGCGTGATTGGCCGAATCCCCGCTCGTGCAATGCCGAGACGGGAATCTGCGTTCGGTGGTGACGAAGGCGTCGGTCTCGGTAAAAAGAATCCTTGCGAGGCCCAACGGCGTGCCAAGCACGGGCCGCCTCACGAGCATGAGTTGCTGGGGCTTGGTGACGGCGGCCGATGATGGTCCGGGCGATTGCGCCCCACATGCCAACGAAGCCTTTGTCAAACGAATCTTCGTCCAGAACGCGAGATTCGAGTATGGTACCACAAACAGGGAACATTGGACGGGTACATGTACCACCTAGCTGCTAAAACTGCAACGAATATGTTATTCATAACTTACGTGGAGTGAGCCGCTCCGACGACGATGCCGCTCTGAAGTGTTCGTCGGATAAGAGTCCTGCATGCAAGCGGATCCTCGGATCGCATGCTCGGTGGTGGCGGGCAACCTGCCCGGAGCATCGTCGGTTCGCGGCGCGTGCCTACGGCTGGCCATCGTGCGATGATGGCGCTGCACCACTCCTACAACGAGACAAAGATATGATCAACGACGGCAAGTTGACGTTTGGGTGATAATGTTCGTTGGTGGATAAATTACATGTTCGCATTTGTATTGCTGCAGCGAATTATGTGCGCGTGCAAATAAATAGACTGTTTCTACTGCTGGCTACTACTGGCCGGCGGCGGACGAAGCTTACAGCTCCATGGCGAAGATGTCTTCGTCGTCGCGGTCGTCCACACCTGTGGGTGAGGCCGGTGCTGCGACGGCTGTGGACTTGAACGAGTGCGCGCTGCGCTTGACCATGCGGGTCTGCGAGGCGCCGTACTGCGATCGGAAGAAGGCCAAATTGCCGTAGAGGGCAGGATCATCCTCGTCCAGCTCGTCTTGATTGTCCTCGTCCTCGTGTAGATAGCGACCGGCGCGAAGCAGACGCATGTCGGCGTGGTAGGACAAGTCTGGGCTCTCAACGACGCTTTTGCAAAGGTGCGGGTGAGGCTGCTGGCGGCCGTTGGACGGGATGCTGATGGGCGCCGTGCGCACCCAGACGCGCTGAGCGTCCTTGGTCACGAACTTGCGTTTGGTCTCGAGATGGCACTGGCAGTCGTCGCAGCTGGAGCTGTCCGAGTCGCTGTCCGACATGTCGGTCTCGGCGTACGAGGACGCAGGGCTGTGCTGCTGCACTTGCAGCGCGGTCATCCACTCGGAGAAGTTTTGCATGTTCCAGTTACTGCTACAGGCCTGTTGCTGTTGGCAAGAGTCCTTGTTCGGTAGATGGCAGATTCGATTGTGAGCGTCTACAAAAACAGCAAGAGCTGTGTGCCGGAGGCGGCCATCATCGCGCCCGTCTATCCGCCTTATGCTTGTGGTGGAAGCTTGGCCAGCAGTATTTTCGGCTGCAAGGCACGCGCTCGTGTTGTGATTCGTCGAAAATGGTGTGACGCGAACCAATCGGATGCGCGGGTGCAGTCGAAGTGGTACCGGTGCGAGACGTGGCGACGACTGTACCAAGCAGCGGCAAAGATACGGCAGTAAGGCTGGCTGGACGAACAAGGGACCGAAAAACCGGTGGTCGCGCAAAAAGACATGCTACTTGGTGGTCACAGTCTTTTGGGCTACACCATGAGACGAACAGATCAGGGCATTGCTGGGCCAGCAAACCGTTTGACTCAATCTTTGGTTATCAAGATAAAATACCCGCGTTATTCATAATAGCCGTTAATGGAGTGAGCGGCCCCGTGCCGGTACTTTACAGGCTTGCTATGGCTGCCGCTGTTGGTACCAAACCGTACGTTGTGTGCTATATCCCAATTGAATGAGTTCCGGCGACGAACGTGCACCGCAGGCACCAGCATCGCTTCCCGGGCAACAAGTCGTTGCTGACGATTCTTACGCCAGCAAGAAGAGCCAACTAACGCACGTGCCTGCCTGTGACAGTCTAGCAACAAGGCCGACGTGAATCTTGCGGCCGTCGTCAAATGGAGAGCTGGTATATTTCGACAAGTTGCAAGATCGTATCTGGACTTCCGCTCTAAGTGAAGCCTGTCAAATGTACGTCTATAGCAGCAGTAGAGAGCAGGTCAGGCCTACGAAGTGAGCGAATCTACCATCGTGTCACCAGCGAATCTCGGGCGCTCGTCCACCACCGATGAATTTATAGGCAATGATGATACGGCCGGTCGCGTGGTCGGTCAGGCTTGAAAAACGCGCATCTTCAAAGTTCAAGCAACCCGGCCATGTTCACCTAAATGTGACGCGACAGGGTTTGGTGGTCTGTACCATGATAACGGTACAAGATTTACTTCAAGTTCAAGCCATCAAAAAGCTTTGTTCTTGTGGCACAAGAACACAAGAACAAAGCTTTTTGAACTTGAAGTAAATCTTGTACCGTGAGGTCAAAATGCAGCAACTCGACAGCAAATTGTTTCGGCAGCAATCGCGATTCAAGTGATCAGGTCGAATGGTAATGAGTACGGCGATGTAATGCAGGTGGTACAGTTTTATCGTAAGACGCTGGCTCGTGCACAACGCGTTGCTTGCGCTCGAAAGGGCTCACGTGAGATATGGCAACTTCGTGCGTGGCTCTTTGAAACGACTTTAACGTACCCCGAAACTTCACTGGCATTTACCTCGTAACCGTAATGAACTCTCGCTGCTTCTGTCTCGTTAACCAATTCGTTTTATCATAGCTATCGGATTCATGACGTGAATACTTCGCCATGAAATAAATAGGTGGCTAAGATGGCTGGGGCGTGAAAAAAAAACGCAACGAAATGATATACCTATGCAGTTGTCGGTATCAATTGAGTGAACATGATGTAGTTGCCCGCTAAACTGACTCATGGCAAGATTGAGGAGCAGATCGAAGCAAATTTTGCTTTGACACCCTCGGGCGACCAATTAAGCGAAAGCCAACTTTAACGTGCCCATGTGTTTCGAGCTGGTAGGCATCGTGCTACCACGGACTGGAAGTCGTAAGCGCTCTCGTCGAACGAAAGAAACAAATGCAAACGGAATTGAATCTGATTTCGGTCTGAAATACGCTTTATGACGCCTTGACTCCTCTGGTTCAGGACTCCTGGACATGGATAGTATCAGGATATGGATACACCTTTCGCTAAAGCGTTTGCCGATCTTTGCCAGCTCATTCGTTCACCAGCACTGCAGGAGTCGTTACTGATTGTTTTTGGTCATGACACCGAGACGCGTCAATATGAACTCGAGCGCAAGATTCGTGAAGATGAGGCGTCAGAGTCCATCGATGACCAACTGCGTGTATTCTTCGATACTGTGCTGGCTTCGTTAATACAGGAGCGCGAGACGACTTTTGTTAATACCATCCACGAGTGCGTTCAACAGGAAATGCAGACTCAACAAGTAGTCATTCAAAACCAGCAGCAACGCATAACTCAACTCGCACATCAAATAATGGAATGGGAGAAGCAGGTGGCCCATTTGAAAGGTAAAGTCAATCGGCGAGTAGCCGAAAACAACGCTCTACGCAAGGAGCAGTACAGACAATTGCTTATGTTACGAGATATCATGAGCAAACAAGGGACAGAACCGGGTGCGTTATCAGCTCTGAACGAGGCTATTGGTACAGTTTTAGTCGGTAAGCAGACACCAGCATCGGACACCGCGCAGACTAACGAACTGGATCAATCCAGAAATTCTGGACGTGGTTGGTTAGCCAATGCAAACACGCAGGTCTTACATCGCGAGAAGGAGAAATGGGAACAACGTGCCCGAGAGGCTGCGCTCGAGTGTCAACAACTGCGAGATAGAGTTGCTTCTTTGACCCAAGAGAACACTAGATATCGAGCTAATGAATCCACGCCCTGGTTCTTAAAACCCGAGAATGCCATTGCAGAGCGAAGGCGAATCGCAGACGCGGTGCGTTCGTATCAAGGCAATTGGGAAGAGATTGGTGATTCACTCGTTGAACTTCTGAACAACGATATTCTATGGGCGGCAGTGGAGAAAAGTGCTCGTCGCGGCAATCGACGTAGTGCAAGAGGCCTTGAGGCGATGCTAACGAATCTTGATAGCAATACACAGACTGCTTCTATTGAACAAGAGAATAATCTGGAGAAAGTTGAAGGCCCAGTTGTTCATCATTCGGGAAAACACAGTCACTGCAGAACAGTAGGTTTTGGAGCTGAAGACTCAATTGGAGATGGCAACCAACACGCTAGCGTTGGAGGAGAAGCTTTTGTTAGTTTACTTCCGTTAGCTGTCGAGTACTGTATGTACACGGCAGAGCTACAGTAGAAAATCCTCCAAAGCAAAGTCATGTTTCACTAGTTTTCAGAATCTGAAAACTGATGAAGAGATGCCATTTAATGTCGATGAGCAGCTTACACCTGCAACAGAAACGCTCCATATCCGTTGCCGTTAATACGCTCGACAAATTGCGCACTACGACACTAATTATCGAGCAAGAGAGAAGGAAGACTATCCGATAGCGTTCGTCACGGTTGAAGTTTTCCGAGATAATCACTTTTTCTGGTCCACCGCACTTATTTCGGCCCACCAACTTGGACTCTGTATGTGAGACCATCAATCATTCAATCGCGCGGGAAAAACGAGGGGGAAAGCTCGAAAGTGAAGCAGCCATGGTGAAGGAAATGCCGCTCGACATCGGGCTACGTGTTGGTGCGTGCCGTCCCCCTAGTATCGTATTCATGCACTCTCATGACCCCCCTTCCCTCTTTATATGCCATTCAGACGTACTGGACGACGAGGGTATCTGGAACACGGGCGTGATCGTGGACGTTGGCAAAGAGGCCGACGAGGACGAGGATAAGGTCGAAGTTAAGTACGACGGATGGGGAGACGAGTACAACCAGTGGATTGGCGTGGCAACGCAGCGTCTTGCCCCGCTTCACACGTACACTATCGTCAAGAAGTGCTGGGCCAAGCTCACGAAGTGGCCTTGGTGGCCGGCCTTCGTACGTGTAATAATACTATAAGTTATGTATAGTACTATTTAAACTAATACTTTGGATGCACAGGTTGTACTACGCGCACCCACGACGGCGCTGGCAGCCCACGGCCTCGAGGAGGAGACGAAGCTGTACGTGGAGTTCTACGACTCGTTCAATGAGGACAAACGCTCGCGTTGCTGGATGCAGAAGAAGAACGTGGCGTCGTTCCGCGACAGCTTCGAGGAGCGCGCGTCCAAGAACATTGGCAAGAATTTCCCCAAGTTTGTGGAGGGCACTCAACGCGCCAAGGCCGGTACGTCGCCGTTGCTGTTCTCAGGACCGGGTACTTTGCCTATTGAGTACTCTAGCAAGATGGCTGAGCCGTTGGAGGAGAAGAGGAAGGAGTGTACCACGGAGCAGTGGTTCCATCTGTACAGAGACTTTAGCAACCGCTACCAGGACCTGTACGGATACTCTACGGCTCCGTCGGGGTCGACAACGACCTCGTCTCCTGGCCGCAAGTCGGGCAAGCGCGCTCCTGGTCGCCCCAAGAAGGTCGTGAAGCAGCAACTGTCAGAAGGTACGTGACTTGCTTTCACTATGTGACAGGAAGAGTGATGGTAATGGTCTCTATTGTGATATTTCGTTTTCTATTGTGATTTTTAGATGAAGATGAAAGTGAAGAGAAGGACGAAGAACCTGAAGCTGATGACCCTGAAGAGAGCGGCAACGAAGAGGAGGAGGCCTCTGCCTCTGCACGACGGACAACCCGTCGCAACAAGCGCGCTGCAGCCCCAGCTCCCTCCTCGCGCCGCAGCACCCGACCCCGACGCGTTAAAGGTTAATTTGACGTTTCTTCCTTCCGTAGTGTGTAGTACGGGTGGATGGGTGCGTGCATGCGTGCCCTGTGCGTAGCTACTCTGCCTCCCATGCGTGCATAGTGTTTGACTGTGTATGTGTGGTTTGGCTCGTTTTTTAATCAGTAATTGAGGTACTGACCGATACAAGCTCTTCCATGGTTGGTTCTTCCTTTTCTCCTGCTACATCCGTCCGCGACGCAAGCTCCAGATCCTCGAGCGTTGCGCGGGACACGAGCGTTGTGGCCAATCGCTCGCTGTTTACAGTCAATAAGGAGGCTGACGCGCAGTCTGCGGTAGATACCCTGGAAGCCAAGAAGCCTGCTAGCTCGCTGGACACTGAAGAGCAGAGTGAAGACCTCGTAATGGACGAGTGCAAGCCTGCGGCTCCGATCGAACTCAGTCGTCCTGAGCTCAACCTTGAGAGTGCGACAGGCAGTAGGCGCCGGAAGGATCGACCTGCCAAATTGTCTGAGCGCGCTAATGCTGCTAAGAAACCGAAGACTGAGGGACACACTACTGAGCAAGACCCTGATTTCTATCAGGACTGGTCTGGTGGGTCTCGCTACGAAGTGGACAACAAGCCGTGGAGCATCTTGGGATGGATTACGGAGGGCTTTAAGAGCAGACTGCAGCGGAAGTGAAGGGAAGCAAATGTGGAGGATGCTGGCCATTCTCATCTGTGTAAATGAACATTGTGCTGATGTACTGATGAGCCTTTGTTACCTCTTGTTTAATGGTTTACTTTTTTCTGTCTTTCGCTGGAGTGAAGCACTTCGAGGAGACAAATGCGGCTGCTCACGACGAACTTCTGCTAATGTCGCTGGCGCTTGTGGAGAGAGATTGAGACGAACTACCGAGTCAGCCTGATGCGCTGCCAATAGCGACTGAAACACTCCGTCCCGATAAATCTTTGGCACGGATGCACCGACGTAACGTGGTGAAATACCGGGTGCCAGTAATTGAGAGCGATGTAGCCATTGCTTCTCACCGGAAAACGGAGATTGGATCGAAGGAAAACGCGGGTTATGCTCGTAATACATTGTCCTGTCAGCAGCTAATGGAGAACGAGGCGAAGATGGATCTCGCCTTCTAGCACTACTGTCTCTATGACTGGATGAATTATCGTCGTAGAATTCACACAGTGAACGTGAAAGAGGATCCACGTCACGTAAATTTTCCCAGGATGGAGCACTTGCAACCCACTGGATGCCACGCAAAGCAGAGAAATACACACTTTGGTTATGTGCACCGATGAAGAACTCGCACACGATACCTGGTAAAAACAGAAAAATAAACATTCGTAACTACATACTTCGAAGTAGTAATATCGTTGGAAACGTTTGCTTTAGCGTACCACAAGCCTGTTTCGTGTTGTGACCAAGGTTGATACAGTTCGCGAGCTCCGAAGTTACTCGCTTCATGTAAAACAGAAGTGGAGCCATTACCTCAGGATCGAAACCACTCTGACGAAGGCTTTTGTATTTACAATCATCAGGGTGCACGATGTCGAGATGCAACAATTGATGATCGCTCTGTATACTCTGGTTTTCGTTCACGGCAGCACTGTCCTCAATGTTGTCAAGCTCGCTGTTCCTTTTAGGTTGAGACCACAGAAAAACGTCAGAATGAGCTCGTGGCGTGGATTTCTTAGCACCATCACTGATACTAGAGCGACCACGACTCCCCGAGATTGGCGTTCTGGCACTGCTACCTGAATGTCTCCACGCAATCAAGAAACTGGCATTATTTTGGCTCGGAATATGCCTTTGCAGGCAGAATACTCCCTTAATTAGCTCTGACCGCACAGAGTTTGTGCTCGAAGCACTTGTAGCTGATAGTTCCGGCGGTAGGCAGATCACAGGAAATTCCATATCTCTGCAAAACATCTTACACAGTGGGATTAGTTCAGGTGGCAAAGTGATGTATCTCTATCTTTACTTCGACTTCTCACTTTAAGTTCTCGTCGAGATAGATTCTCCGCGCCAAAACCTAGACGACGCACAGCAATGATATCATCCATAGAGGAGGATACGTGTCGTTCGGAAGGTAGTGGTTTTTCAAAAGCTTCTAGTATCGCTTGCGGGGAGACTCGCTGTAAGATTCCGGTCAGTTTTTTTTTAATTGCAAGCGTGGTTGGAAGGAAAAATATTCTAACCATGAGATCCATCGCTTTGACACGGCCCGCTGACGATGTTGTGTACCAGACGCTTGGTTGACTACAATGAGGCCAACACCAAAGTATTGAAGCGCCAGGTTAGTATTCAATTACATGTGTTCGTACGTATTGCTAAATAGCCGATGAAATACCCGCTCGGGCTGAGGAGAATTGTATCAGGAATCTGAAGTGGCATGCCATCACCCCCTTTCTCCCCACCAATCGCTCGAAACAACACTACCCACTCATGGGCGAGATCCTCCGCAAGAACTCCCACTTGAGAGCACGTCTTCTGAGTGAATGCAGACAATCTCAAAGGTTGAATCAATGGTGGCTGCCGGATTGTATACAGCGGTCGTCGTTTGCATTCCGAGTTGTCGTTAAAATCACCACTTCGACTTCCCATTCGCGTCTTCTTGTCTCGATACGAAGTACTTGTGTTAGAACTCATGTTACTAGAATAGATTCGGCATTGTGACGTTGTATTCTCGCATCACTTTTTATTCAAAACGCAAACAATTTGTGCTCGAACTACACATAATACACGACATACACCAATACCCACTGAATCTGGACTCGGTCAAGTCTTGCTGCTTCTATCGTCGACTGTAAGCGTGCGCTTGAACCAATTTTCCATCGAAAACCCTTTGCTGGAGCTAAAAACTGCCAACGGAGTAGGCAAAGGGCTAAGAGAAGTATGAGCTGCTTCCTTCGTGACTCCATCAAATTTTCTCGGCACGCTGATCACTGTCTTCTTAGTATTCCTTGGTTCGGCGTTTTCCTCATCATCCCCGTCTAGAGTGCCTGCCACCGCAATAAATAGGTTAAGTTTAACTGTCTTTTGTTTTCAGCCTAGGCTTCACGAATCTCTTACCCTCTACGCCTGCTTGCATCATGTGGAAACGTCGAGACACGTCTTGAGCCCTTTCCTCGCCATCATCATCGTCTTTTGGCTTGTCCTCATCGCGCTGGTTCGCACTTGCAACGATTTCCATCGCTGGTAAGGACTTTGCCTCGGCTTTCGTTACACTCGCAGCCTCTTTGGGATCACTTTGGAAGTCAAGCGCCATGTCTTCATCAAATTGTGTTGGCATCCCTTTCACCTCTTGGTCAGAACTGTCTGCTTCTTGAACTACTGATAAAAATGAGTGACCTAGCTGGTTAGAAGAGAAATCAAGATCCAGAGGGGTCTCCGTTAATTTTCCTGCTCACATGAACCACAACACAAGCTCACACGGTTACGTTTTGCCCGCATATATTAGTAACAGACCAATTCATCATTTTCCTACCTTGAGGTTCGCTTGCGTTAATGGATGATCCATTTTCTTTGTCATCGACCTGGAGAAATGAAAAGTCCAAGCTCTTTGGTTGATACGAGCGTGGATTTTTGGCTCTAGACACAACGGCCTGAGACTCATCACGGGCTATAAGTATCGTTAGAGAATATGTGCAGATTCAAATTATTAAACAGCTTGGAACATAGTACTTACAGACAGAAGATGATGAAGAACTGGACCGCCTTTGCCGCTCCTTTTCTTCAGCAGCTTTGGATGCTTCTTTTTTCTCCTCATCCAGGTCCCGTAGTACCTCTTTGGCAAACGCGATGCGTTGATCGATTAAAGGTAGCGGGGCTTTGACGCGCTTTGGTGGCTTGTTCTCGGCTGGTATCTTTGGAGCAGCGACAAGACCAGAATGTACATCTTGCTTACTATCCTCTGAGTGCTGCGGGGGACTCCTTGTCACTGAATTTTTAGGAGGCTTGTCATGTCGCTCCACTTCCTTCGCTACGTCCCTCAAAAAACCCTTTTCTTCTTCTTCCCAGTCGTCCTCATCCGAAAGTGATCGTGGCGAACGAATCGAAGATCTGGACTTCGGGCTAGCAATAAGGCTCAAATCTTCTTGAAGTGGAGGAACGCTCCTTCTAGCCGCCATCTTACTTTGGCCTATTTCATCACGAGATCACATCGTCAACCACTATCTACAGTAGCAAGCTGATGTCTGTGCTGCATACAGTACCTTTGCTTTTCGTCTTGGTGGAGTGAGGAGTTATCGCGTGCATTTTCGAGCGTTCTGCAGTCTTGGATTTGGTATTTAACAGTGATGCCGTAACGCTGTCTTGAGAATTGAATTGGGAACCAATTGGACTTGCAGCTTTGTCTTCTGAAGTGATGCCCGGGTCAAAACCATCGGAATACATGTCGTCGTCGCTGTCTTCGCCACTGAGCGATAGGAAAGAGCCTACAGATCAACCATA